CTATTTGGGTAAAACGAATTAATAAATGAGATCATTGTCACAGGCTGAAATTGAAGACATTGAGTTTATTGATAAATTTGATAAATATCATAGCTCTGATCTACCCATGTAGGACAAGGTTCCCCACACCATGACGCTTACGTCTCCAAATCAGGCGCAGATGTTTCCCACCCCGTCATTGCAGGTGGAAACGCGATACATCACTGAACCAAACGCGTCGCCAGTTCCCCAGGTACCATGCCTGTACCCTGTTGCATCATTGGACCTGTCGTTGACGGTGCAGTCATATCAGGACAGGTCCAACTTTTGGTCGATATGCTCGAATTCCCACTTCTCTCAGACGATATCTAATGGTTTGCTAGGTGACGTAGATGAAACAACTGGATGAATCGGTCCAGAGCAGGAGTGGTCACTCTTGGTCTTCCGCTTCTGGGACGATATTGGATCGAATTGAAGAGGGTATAATCTATGCCATAATCGAGATATAGTGATGTTGTGGACGTTGAAGACTGGGATTCCCCTGCTTCCACACGTCCAATGGCGATGTTTCGGTCAGTAGCATTCAATCTTGGCATTGTTTATCTTCGTTTACGTCGTAAATTTCGTAATGAAATCATGAATTTGGTTTGGCCTTTAATTGTCGACGTCTCTACTCATGTTTCCGACACATTCTACGTGCATTACGCGGAAAACATTTTCATGCATCGTTTTCATTTTTTATGACAAACGTTTGCAAACACATTTTGGGGGGCGTTTGCTTTTCAGTCAATAAAATTACAATATTGCACCAAAGCAAACAAAGGTCAACATACTAGAACCAATGGAAGTATGGTATTATATACTATTTTGGAAAAAAATAGGTCAGTTATTACCTTTGACACACACTTCTCTTCCAGAACGAGTCTCCAGGCATGTCCTGTCTCGACAAGTCTCAGATGAACAGGGGCCAGCTTGATTCTGAAGACAAAAGTAACAGGGAATAATACACTAATGTCTGATACTGACTTCTTTTGTTTGGGACGCAATAACAAAGCTACTTACAGTTTTGTTTTGCTTTGGTATGAAAGTTAATTGTCCACATTCTTCTCTATAGTCAAGTCTCAACTTCAGCACATGACACATGAGGGTGACTACATCATATCCGATGCTCCAACAATAGCCTCTGGTCGCACATTTGAGACTGCACATGTTCACACCAACCATTGGAAAGTTTTCCACCTCGTGTTTGTTGATGATCTCGTTTATTTTACTACAATATTTCACAGATGTAACAGCGTCCACTGAGGACAACATGATGCACAGCCGTATCAGGAACATGATGTTTTGATATTTCATCAATTATGGGAAAACGCGTTCTTCGTTCTGGACCTGCTGTTATTCTACTCATCATTTATACTCACATTTGTTATGTTTATCTCAGAGATTATCGAAACATATCCACAATTTGATCTATTTAATTGATCTTGATAACTTAAATCTCTCTTTATCTGTCTTATCGGTCTTTCTAATGGTATATTTATGTGTGAACTTTCCTCTACTGAAAGATTGCAATGGATTACATTTTTTTCAACGGTCACTATCTCTCTTATTCTATTTCAAGCGAAATGCTGCATAAAAAGAAACATATAGTTTGACCCACACAATAAACTGAACTTCTTTGACAAATCGGTCAATTATAATGGTTACGGGCAAACATCTTGCCTTGTGATTTTAGTCGATGGGCGTTTACGAGTGACCATTATTTTATTTGGTACACTCGTCCTATTCCTTAATCTGCAAGATGGCCTGTGAAGATCCGGGGTAGAGTTGGTCGTCAGTAACCCATGGTTGTCGTAAGAGGCGACTAACGGGATCCGGTGGTCAGGCTCGCTGACTTGGTTGACACAAGTCATCGTATCCCAAATGCCGTAGATATATGATCATGCTGTTGATCACTGGATTGTCTGGTCCAGGCTTGATTATTTACACACCGCTGCCATGTAGCTGGAATATAGCTGCGTGCGGCGTTCAATCACAAACAAACAAAAAATAATCTGCAAGAAACCGAGTATTGAGGCACCGACCAATACGGAGCAAACGTCGAGTGTCACCTTCTTTGAGAGGCTTCTGGTGTCCCCCGCCGTGATGTTGCTGGAATATTGCTAAAAACGGCGTAAAACCAAACTCAGTCAGTCAGTCAGTCTTTGCGAGGCATTTAGAAGTTGGAGCAGTAATGGAGGATAACAACATGTGGATGAACAACTTCTTTATTACGTTTCAGTGAAGGTTCTAACTCCTTTATCGGGGCAGTGGGGTAGCCTAGTGGTTACAGCGTTCGCTCGTCACGCCGAATATCAGGGTTCGATTCCCCACATGGGTATATGTGTGAAGCCCATTTCTGATTTCCACCGCGGTGATATTGCTGAAATATTGCTAAAAGCGGCTTAAAACTAAACGTGGCACTTTAAGTATGAGGAAGGAGGAAAGAATTGGTAAATTCGCATCAGACTCAGCTCAATTATATCCCGTCTTCTAAGTCATTCCTCATTACATGCTTTCTCCAGAGACACTCTACAATTCATTGCAGCATTTGTGTTTTAGTTTTTGGTTTTACTGTTTCATTGTTCGTCTACGCAAATCGAGTGAATGGTGATGCTGCCGCTAGCTAAATTGTAAATATATATGTACGCAAATCGAGTGAATGGTGATGCTGCCGCTAGCTAAATTGTAAATATATATGTACGCAAATCGAGTGAATGGTGATGCTGCCGCTAGCTAACTTGTAAATATATATGTACGCAAATCGAGTGAATGGTGACGCTGCAGCTAGCTAAATTGTAAATATATATGTACGCAAATCGAGTGAAATGTGATGCTGCCGCTAGCTAAATTGTAAATATATATGTACGCAAATCGAGTGAATGGTGATGCTGCAGCTAGCTAAATTGTAAATATATATGTACGCAAATGGAGTGAATGGTGATGCTGCAGCTAGCTAAATTGTAAATATATATGTACGCAAATGGAATGAAATGTGATGCTGCAGCTAGCTAAATTGTAAATATATATGTACGCAAATCGAGTGAATGGTGACGCTGCAGCTAGCTAAATTGTAAATATATATGTACGCAAATCGAGTGAAATGTGATGCTGCAGCTAGCTAAATTGTAAATATATATGTACGCAAATCGAGTGAATGGTGATGCTGCAGCTAGCTAAATTGTAAATATATATGTACGCAAATGGAGTGAATGGTGATGCTGCAGCTAGCTAAATTGTAAATATATATGTACGCAAATGGAGTGAATGGTGATGCTGCAGCTAGCTAAATTGTAAATATATATGTACGCAAATCGAGTGAAATGTGATGCTGCAGCTAGCTAAATTGTAAATATATATTTCCGCAAATCGAGTGAAATGTGATGCTGCAGCTAGCTAACTTGTAAATATATATGTACGCAAATCGAGTGAATGGTGACGCTGCAGCTAGCTAACTTGTAAATATATATGTACGCAAATCGAGTGAATGGTGATGCTGCCGCTAGCTTAATTGTAAATATATATGTACGCAAATGGAGTGAAATGTGATGCTGCAGCTAGCTAAATTGTAAATATATATGTACGCAAATGGAGTGAATGGTGATGCTGCAGCTAGCTAAATTGTAAATATATATGTACGCAAATCGAGTGAATGGTGATGCTGCCGCTAGCTAACTTGTAAATATATATGTACGCAAATCGAGTGAATGGTGATGCTGCAGCTAGCTAAATTGTAAATATATATGTACGCAAATCGAGTGAATGGTGATGCTGCAGCTAGCTAAATTGTAAATATATATGTACGCAAATCGAGTGAATGGTGATGCTGCCGCTAGCTAAATTGTAAATATATATGTACGCAAATCGAGTGAAATGTGATGCTGCAGCTAGCTAACTTGTAAATATATATGCACGCAAATGGAGTGAATGGTGACGCTGCAGCTAGCTAACTTGTAAATATATATGTATGCAAATCGAGTGAATGGTGATGCTGCCGCTAGCTTAATTGTAAATATATATGTACGCAAATCGAGTGAAATGTGATGCTGCAGCTAGCTAAATTGTAAATATATATGTACGCAAATCGAGTGAATAGTGATGCTGCCGCTAGCTTAATTGTAAATATATATGCACGCAAATCGAGTGAATGGTGATGCTGCAGCTAGCTAAATTGTAAATATATATGTACGCAAATCGAGTGAATGGTGATGCTGCAGCTAGCTAAATTGTAAATATATATGTACGCAAATGGAGTGAATGGTGATGCTGCAGCTAGCTAACTTGTAAATATATATGTACGCAAATGGAGTGAATGGTGATGCCGCCGCTGGCTAAATTGTAAAATTTATATATATTTCCGCAAATCGAGTGAATGGTGATGCTGCCGCTAGCTAACTTGTAAATATATATGTACGCAAATCGAGTGAATGGTGATGCTGCCGCTAGCTAAATTGTAAATATATATGTACGCAAATCGAGTGAATGGTGATGCTGCCGCTAGCTAAATTGTAAATATATATGCACGCAAATCGAGTGAATGGTGATGCTGCCGCTAGTTAAATTGCAAATATATATGTACGCAAATCGAGTGAATGGTGATGCTGCCGCTAGCTAAATTGTAAATATATATGTACGCAAATCGAGTGAATGGTGATGCTGCCGCTAGTTAAATTGTAAATATATATGTATGTATATATTACGTCGGCGTAACGAGCCAAAGCATTAACCCTGAGCCTCCCCCTCCGCTTGACACGACGATGCCGAGAATCATTTTGTTGTTCTTTCAGCCGAAATGAATACAAGACTTCTGCACTCACGCACACCATCGTTAAACCTGCCCAAGCAATCAACACAATACACCTCGAGACATGTACACATACATACACCAACATTATAAATCCGAGTTTTTTAATACTGTTTTATGATTCCAGCGGATGCCTGTAACATAACCCTACATGACAGGAGCTGTAGAAGCTGTAGTCGACTGTACTCGCCACTGCATGTGACACGTGACGGACATGCAGAACTGCCTCACAACTCATAAGTGCCACAGGTTGCCAGTCGAGCCTCTAAGGGCGATTCTGTCACGATGGAGTTTCATGTACATGTTATCTTGCTAGCTTGCTCGCTTGCTTTAGTAGGTAAGTACTTCTATTTTGATTAACCTTAAACGTGTTTAGAAATATGATTTATTATATTTATATAAATAGTGGGCGAGTATTTTACGCCGTTTTAAGAACAGTCCGATCCTATCTATTCCAGCAATTCTCATTTTGGGGAATCCAACCATCGTCTTTCAAGTGATGAGCCATCGTTTTAGCCACTATCTACTCGAGCAAGTAGAAATGCAGATTTGTTTCTGAACTCTAATTGCTATCATTAAAGCAGGGGACACGGGCGGCCCAGTAGTCTAAAGTCCTGCAATTTGCAGTGCAGAGTGCCAGCTATCTGCCAGAAACCTATGGATCGTGAGTTCGAATCCCTGTTTGCTATAATATGTTTCTGGCTGGATAGTATCCTACCCGTCTTCGGGTTTCCCTCCAACATCAAGCTGACCGATGTAACAGGAATTGCGTTAAAGTGAGTGAGTGAGTTTTGATTTACGCCGCTTTTTGCAATATTCCAGCAATATCACGTCGGGGGACACCAGGCATGGGCTTCACACATAGTATCCATGTGGGGAATCAAACCCGGGACTTCAGCGTGACGAACGAACGCTATAACCACTGGGCTACCCCCACTGCCCCGAACTGCGTTAAAAACGGCATTAAACTCAGCCCATTCTCATAAATAAACACAACTTCAGAGCTTGATATGTCAACATGGGGAATGACAAAACAACGTATACTTTAGCGATTATAACATGCAACAGAATCTCTTCATGGGGGCATGTGAAAGCGAAGGTAGGATTTACAATATCGTCACGTAGATCGATGCTCAAACTGTTGATCACTGGATTGTGTGGTTCAGGCTCGATTATTTACAGACCGCCGCCATGCAGCAATGCAATAAACTACAATCAACCAACCGTCACAGTGGTAGTAATTCGTTACAACCTGAGCTAGAGCTTGCTGTGATATCTTTCCTTATTTCACGCACTTCAACCTTGGTATGTAATCAAACTGCACTATATACTTCCTTAACGTATAGTTAAACAATTGGGGACGGTGGGTAGCCTTGTGGTCAAAGCGTTCGCTCGTCACGCCGAAGACCCGGGTTTGATTCCCCACATAGATACAATGTGTGAAGCCCATTTTTAGTGCCCATTGATATTGCCGGAATATTGCTAAAACTGAACTCACTCACTCTAAACAATCGACTGCACGTGAGATACAGCCAGACATCGTTGTGTCGAAATTGAAAGAGCCTAAGTAAGTCATTCGAGTTATCTGAATTCGACACAACCGACAAATGATGAATGCAGTGAACAAACTTTTCCTTCGAGACGAATGTATATTCAACACATAAAAATTCGAAACAATTCGGTGTTTGACTGTATTTTAATTTGAGTTACCTGCGTCAAATGAGGTTACCAACATTCTAGCAACCAGAGTTAACTTTTTTGGACATTCTTCTGCCTGTCATTGTGATCATAATGAATTCCAGTGTCAGGTCTGGAACAATGCCATCTCCTTTTAAACAAGCCATTGTCAAACCCATTTTGAAAAAAATCCTCCTTACACACAGTGAAGAACTTTAGAATTTCAGACCAGTGTCCAATCTGCCTTTTCTGTCGAAATTGATTGAAAGAGCAGTGTGTCTCAGACTCTCTGAACATTTGAAAACTCACCACTTAGATGTCCTCTTTCAATCTGCGTATCGCCAACAAACATCACAGCACTGAAACTTCGCTCCTCATGGTGTTGAATGATCTCAGACTTGAAATTGATTAGGGGAATGATAGGGAATAGACATAAACTGACGTACAAAAGAAAGTACACACCCGGTGCTTTTGGATTACTTTCCAAAGAGCGACGTAAATGTTTTCAAAAGAGTTTTTATAGTGATATATAAGTCACAGACTTTCCTAATATGTTGCCAAAACACCACAGATATCGTGCCCAATTGCGAATCTGCCAGTCAAAATCACAACACTTTTCAAATAATCCCAAATCACCAGGTGTATACTTTCTTTTGTACTTCAGTTTAGCATAATGATTTCCCGCCTTAACGCAGAGTTTGGAATCCAGGGAATAGCGTTGAGTTGGTTTAAGTCCTACCTCAGTGATAGATACCAGTCCTGTCCTACTTACATGTGGTGTGCCACAAGGGTCTGTCCTTGGACCGATCCTTTTACACTGTATACAGGACAGCTTGATAAACTCATTGACAGACATCAAATCGGACGTCACCACGATGCCGGCGACTCACAACTGATGAAACCCATTCTCCCTAAGCTGCTGCAGCTCTGGAACAAACATTCCTCTGTTCTCAGGGCATTAAGCTCTGGATGTTGAGCAACAAACTCAAACTCAACGATCACAAAACGGAGTGCCTCATAGTTGGACCCACGTCGAGGTGGTCCAAAGTTGATATCACTTCCATACCTATTGGGAGTTATCTCATTAAGGTAGCAGAGGTAGTTGAAGATCTAGGTGTCCATCTTGATTCTGAATTATCTTTGGAGAACCACGTCAACAACTTGGACAGAAACTGAGTCCTCCAGCTTAGAAATATTGGAAATATTAGGAAGTATCTCAACAAACAATCGGCAATCATCCTTGTTCTTTCACTAGTCATTTCCAAGGTAGATTACTGCAACAACCTACTCTGATAAAAGTCAATAAGCTCCAGAAAATACCAAATACTACCGCAAGAATTGTGACTCTCACGCGAAAACATGACCATATAACTTCTATTCTCCAAAGTCTTCATTGGCTTCCAGTGAAAGAACGCGTATCCTATAAAGTCCTGTGCCTTGCGTATAAATGCGTTGCTAGTGATGCACCGGAGTACCTGTGTGAGCTACTGCAGCCTTACAGACCACTGAGAACTCTCAAATCACAAGCACAACATCTCTGTGGCCTGAAAACTAAGACTACAAGCTATGTGCGCTTCGAGCATGCAATGAGCGTGGAGTATTAGCGCAATATAATGCACTATTATTATTATAACTTGATTCAACCTTAGTTAACCAGCGTTAACATAACAGTACTCGAAATAAAATTCAATATAATTAAAAATGGCTGACACCAGAAATATAAACAGAACACCATTATGTGTTGTTATAACACACAACACGGGAGATTTACAAAACAAATTACACTTGACAAAGCTGCCATTGCATCTTTTCTATGTAATCCATAATTTCAAAAGTGAGTCAGTGAGTTCAGTTTTACGCCGCACTCAGCAATATTCCAGCTATATGGCGGCGGTCTGTAAATAATCGAGTCTGGAACAGACTATCCAGTGATCAACAGCATGAGCATCGATCTACGCAACTAGGATACGATGACATGTGTCAACCAACTCAGCGAGCCTGACAACCCAATCCCGTTAGTCGCCACTTACGACAAGCATGGGTTACTGAAGATCAATATTCTAACCCGGACCTTGATTTCAAAAGAACACTACAGTCCGTTTGGCTCAAAAGTGGACCGATGAATTGCTATCTAACTCGACAACTAATAAACATAAAATACTCAATGAAACGCTGATCATAATCAAAACATCATACCTCATACTCTGTGAGGTTTTTTGCAGAATTTTTGTCCGAAAAATAAAAAAGTTGTTTAACAAACTATCATTAAAATATTGACACAGTTCACTGTTTGTTACGAGGGAGGAGTGCGGAGAAAGGGACAGACAGGTGTTCGAGAAGAACGTTCACAGACAAAGTTATTTATTCATTAACCTGTGCTGTGCCGTCTCCATCCGTTCTCGAACACCTGGCTGTCCCTTTCTCTGCACTCCTCCCTCTTCATCACCCCAACTTCTAAATTGCCCATCAAGGAAGTCCCCTGTCTCTGGATGATTAAATATCGGAGTTTTATTTTTTATGATCACTGATTCCAGAAGACCTAAAATTAGTCCTGGAAAAAAAAGATATATTATTGACTTTAATCCATTGACTTGTACGCGTACATGCACATATTTGCAAATTAAATAAAATCCACATGGCACCCAGAACGATTTCAGGTTTAGAAATGCGGCAGTCTAATCTTGCCAATTCATTCTACACTTGAGCCAGGCTGGGTTTCTTAAAGTGTAGTATCTAGCGCCTGGAAGACAGATTATGCCTCAACATTGCTATTTATGCACTGGCGTATATTCAGGGTAAACCACGACTCGGTTGACACTATTCCATCTTGAAACATGGAATCTGACTGGTGCCATGCAGGTGATCTGTTTGTAAGTTTATCCATAGAGTATCATACCTTTCTTAGTAACATATGATGCTTTTCATCGTAGCTGTTTTGCATGGATCAATGTTCACGATGTCAATCACTGGTTTGTCTGGTTCAGACTCATTATGTATTTGATCGTCATCATATAGCTGGTTTTGGTTTGGTTTCATATTTCATGCCGCACCCAGCAATATTCCAGCTGTATGGCGGTGGTCTGTAAATAATCGAGTCTGGACCAGACAATTAGGGCTGCGCAATATAACCGGTTTACCGGTATTTGCCGGTTCAGACATATAAACGATACGTATTGCGATGCGCTGATCGAAAACCGGTATTTTGACATGCATTCGGAAAACTTCGTAACACTCGGAAATCTTCGGATGTTTCCGTTTTTTAAATTGTTCCTTTCCTTGATTTTTTTGTGCCAAACATTATTTACATTTTTATTTTGTCATGATTAAAAGTTTTTATTAAAGCCTAATCAAGTATAGTGATTTTGTTGTGTTTTTGCGTTATAAATCAAGCATAAACTCGATTATAAGTAGTTTTTTTGTTAAAAAAACTTCTTGCAGTATATTGCAATACACATCGCAATATATGCTTTCACATCGCAATATATCGCAATATGAAAATTCTCCACAATACCCACCCCTACAGACAATCCAGTGATCAACAGAATGAGCAGCGATCTGCGTAATTGGAAACCGATGGCATGTGTCAGTGAGTCTGACAACCCGATCCCGTTAGCCGCCTCTTACAACAAGCATGGGTAACTGAAGATCTAACCCGGACCTTCACGGGTACCATCATATAGGTGAGCGCGATGGCAGAATCAATAACAATAAGTGATGTCTGTTTATTTAATAAATGAAGCATGTCTTTGATTCACATCCCCAGATTCGGTGATTCTCGGACGCCGGAGGTCGTCGTCGTCGTGGAACTTGGGAGGATGGAACAACGTTCGTCGGTCAAGCTGGAGCACGGAGCCAGAGAAGTGGAATCGGTGGGACAGCAGATCCTCAGATGGCTATGGGTGGAACTATGGCAACCAGAACCGGTGGGGGTCCAGGCGAGGGGTGGACAGCTATAAGAGTAACTCCGACTACTGGAGCTCTGACAGATGGTCCACCAGACGCGGTGACAACACCTGGAAGAGCTGGAACTCTTGGAGCGGGTCGTCCTGGGGCAGGTGAATACCGGGACACTAATGTTGAAGGCTTTAGCTCAACTACTTTCATGTGATGATTAGGCGTCTCTGTAGAACTTATGGGGAATCTAGGCGTCTCTGTAGAACTTATGGGGAATCTGGGTTAGAACAGGTCAGCAGTAACATGTGCAGGTTGACGGAACACGTCCGCAGTAACGTATGCGGGTTGACGGAATAGGTCCGCAGTAACGTATGCGGGTTGACGGAATAGGTCCGCAGTAATCATTGCAGTTTGACTAAACAGGTTCACAATGACATATGCAGGTTAACCGAACAGGTCCGCAGTAACTTTGCAGTTTGACGGAGCATGTCCGCAGTAACATATGCAGGTTGACGGAATAGGTCGGCAGTAACATATGCAGGTTGACGGAATAGGTCGGCAGTAACATATGCAGGTTGACGGAACAAGTCCGTAGTAACCTTGCAGTTTGACGGAACACGTCCGTAGTAACAGATGCAGGTTGACGGAACAGGTCCGCAGTAACAGATGCAGGATAACCAAACAGGTCCACAGTAACAGATGCAGAATAACCGAACAGGTCCGCAGTAACGTATACAGGTTGACGGAATAGGTCCGCAGTAACGTATACAGGTTGACGGAACAGGTCCGCAGTAACATATGCAGGTTAAACGAACAGGTCCAGAGTAACATATGCAGGTTAAACAAACATGTCCGCAGTAACCTTGCAGGTTGACGGAACAGGTCCGTAGTAACGTATGCAGGTTGACGGAACAGGCCCGCAGTAACGTATGCAGGTTGACGGAACAGGTCCGTAGTAACGTATGCAGGTTGATGGAACAGGCCCGCAGTAACGTATGCAGGTTGACGGAACAGGCCCGCAGTAACCTTGCAGGTTGACGGAACATGTCCGTAGTAACATATGCAGGTTGACGGAACAGGTCCGTAGTAACATATGCAGGTTGATGGAACAGGCCCGCAGTAACGTATGCAGGTTGACGGAACAGGCCCGCAGTAACGTATGCAGGTTGACGGAACAGGCCCGCAGTAACCTTGCAGGTTGACGGAACAGGCCCGCAGTAACGTATGCAGGTTGATGGAACAGGCCCGCAGTAACGTATGCAGGTTGATGGAACAGGCCCGCAGTAACGTATGCAGGTTGACGGAACAGGCCCGCAGTAACGTATGCAAGGTTGACGGAACAGGCCCGCAGTAACCTTGCAGGTTGACGGAACAGGCCCGCAGTAACGTATGCAGGTTGATGGAACAGGCCCGCAGTAACGTATGCAGGTTGATGGAACAGGCCCGCAGTAACGTATGCAGGTTGACGGAACAGGCCCGCAGTAACGTATGCAGGTTGACGGAACAGGCCCGCAGTAACGTATGCAGGTTGACGGAACAGGCCCGCAGTAACGTATGCAGGTTGACGGAACAGGCCCGCAGTAACCTTGCAGGTTGACGGAACATGTCCGTAGTAACGTATGCAGGTTGACGGAACAGGTCCGTAGTAACGTATGCAGGTTGACTGAACAGGCCCGCAGTAACGTATGCAGATTGACGGAACAGGTCCGTAGTAACATATGCAGGTTGATGGAACAGGCCCGCAGTTACTTTGCAGGTTGACGGAGCAGGTCCGCAGTTACATATGAAGGTTGACGGAGCAGGTCCGCAGTAACCTTGCAGGTTGATGGAAAAGGTCCGCAGTAACCTTGCATGTTGATCGAACAGGTCCGCAGTAACATGTGATGGTTGACCGACTCAAAAACAGCAAGGTGATATTTTGTAGAGGCAGTAGAGTGTAAATCATCATCTTAAGAAAATTAATCCTGATTAACCTCGAAAAATATGCCATTTGGCGTAAAATGTAAATTGCCACGAAAAGTGTATGAATGGATCGCTTTATATGTTACTTCCTGACATCACACAACAGTACATACATCGACGGCATGCAAATATGACAATCACGTAATGGAAAGATGTCCTGCCACAAATGAGCGTATTCACTTATTTTGCGTAAAACCCCCAAACAACGTGTCGAATTTGACCTATGTCTGCATTTTTGTGCAGAGATTCTGATGCTTACAACTCAAGAAAATGGCAAGATAAAGACCTTTCGACATGCATCTCATTTGTAGTTATCTTTTCATTTTGCTAATTAATTAAATGATTAACGTTCCAGGCAGAATCAGGGAAGGTCAAGAACGAGAACAAGTTCACGTTCCCCGACAACAAGGTCAACGACGGGTGGCAACAACGCGTGGTATTACCAGATGATCTGCAAGAACTCATACGCCCCCTTGATGCAGTCTAATGGCAGCCCTTTTTACTGCTCCTGGTATCGCCAGTGTCCACAGAATGGCGGAACCTCCTACTGGTACAGCTACCGTTACACGTGTCAGACTGTAGGAGAGGGCAGCATGGGTCTGTGTTGTGTGGACGCAGGGGGTAAGTCTTACCACGCCCACTGATACACGTGTCAGACTGTAGGAGAGGCCAGCATGGGACTGTGTTGTGTGGACGCAGGGAGTAAGTCTTACCACGCCCACTGATACACTTGTCAGACTGTAGGAGAGGGCAGCATGGGTTTGTGTTGTGTGGACGCAGGGGGTAAGTCTAGCCACGCCCACTGATACACGTGTAAGACTGTAGGAGAGGGCAGCATGGGTCTGTGTTGTGTGGACGCAGGGGGTAACTCTTACCACGCCCACTGATACACGTTTAAGGATGTAGGCGAGGGCAGCATGGGTCTGTGTTGTGTTAACGCAGGGGGTAAGTCTTACCACGCCCACTGATACATGTGTCAGACTGTAGGCGAGGCCAGCATGGGACTGCGTTGTGTGGACGCAGGGGGTAAGTCTTACCACGCCCACTGATACACGTGTCAGACTGTAGGCGAGGGCAGCATGGGTCTGTGTTAAGTGGACACAGGGGGTAAGTCTAGCCGCGCCCACTGATACACGTGTAAGGATGTAGGCGAGGGCAGCATGGGACTGTGTTGCGTGGACACAGGAGGGTAAGTCTAGCCACGCCCACTGATACACGTGTAAGGATGTAGGCGAGGGCAGCATGGGACTGTGTTGCGTGGACACAGGGGGTAAGTCTAACCACGCCCACTGATGCACGTGTCAGACTGTAGGCGAGGGCAGCATGGGACTGTGTTGTGTGGACGCAGGGGGTAAGTCTTACCACGCCCACTGATACACTTGTCAGACTGTAGCCGAGGGCAGCATGGGTCTGTGTTAAGTGGACGCAGGGGGTAAGTCTAGCCACTCCCACTGATACACGTGTCAGACTGTAGGCGAGGGCAGCATGGGTCTGTGTTGTGTTAACGCAGGGGGTAAGTTTTACCGCGCCAACTGATACACGTGTAAGGCTGTAGGCGAAGGCAGCATGGGTCTGTGTTGTGTGGACGCAGGGGGTAAGTCTAGCCATGCCCACTGATACACGTGTAAGGATGTAGGCGAGGGCAGCATGGGTCTCTGTTGTGTGGACACAGGGGGGTAAGTCTAGCCACACGTGTCCCATTGTCTGGTAATGTTATACAGAACACAAAGACACGCGTGCACACTCGCACGCACACACAGACATACTCAGACATACACGCGCGCTGCTATCTACATTATGTAACCTGTGTCACATGTAAATACTCTCTCCCGATAAACCTGCCATCACGACACCGACGTCAAGTGCCATATCGCGGAACACATGCTGAGTCAAAGGTCACCCATCTTTCATTGCAATGTGAAGTCATCTGCACAACCGCCCGTGTACCTCCAGGTCACCTTATATGGACATATATCCAAACTGAACTGCATTGTCTAAATCGCAGAGGTGTTTTGGTTTTAGGTCATTTCGATGTTTGTCACCTTCGATGTTCTTCAGTGTAGGTTGGAATAAGCTACGCGTGAATACATTAGCATATTCTTTGATCATTATCAATATAAAGACATTATATTTTAATATAACGTCACAAAATATTAATATATATCAGCAGCAGTTAATACCGCAATGTATTATGTGTAGATATAAAAATGAGTTAATCAGGAAATAGATAAACTGTGGTATGAGTTATTTAACTTGGAGGTGTGAGTTACTAAACTTGGAGGTATAAGTCGTTAACCAGAAATTCCTCATTTGGAAAGAGACATTCTTTACCATAGTCAGAGGTCTGAAATACATAGACTTCAAACTTACTTTGATTTCACAATGAAAGCCAAGTGGTGCCACTTTGAATGCCGAATTTTGCAATTTTTCTATATCGAAATTTCGATTTTGTTTTTCGTTATTTCAATCATTTTCTCTCTATTACAAGTTTGTCTTGTCATTGTTTCACTGTTACGTCTTTACTGGAACACAGTAGATAAAATACACACAATGGGCGGAGAAACGGGCACACCTTAGCTGCGTGTATTTCGGTAGCTCGAATAATCGAAATAAGGTGGAAGAATTCGAATTTTCTCTCCCCTTAGAAATAGAATTGAAAAAACGAGAAAAGAATCGAAACTTTGAAAAAATGAAACAATTTAAATGGCGAAAATACTATTGACATTTCGAGAAAATGTTTGAAATTATGACAGAAAATCGAAATTTCGTTATATGTTGTTTTTAAATATTCGAAATAACGAGAAAGAACTCGAAGGTGTGCTACCACACAGTTGCACCATTGGCTTTCGTCATGACAAGAGAGTCTGTTGTTTGAAGGTTCAAGCTTTGTGCCACTGATTGGGTTGTTCGTTGCTGATCGATGATCGATAAAAGTATATAATCAAATAATGCTTTGTCAGCAATATATTTAACTTGCATGCATGGCAAGCAGTGGTCATATGTATTACAGCTAACACTAAAACAACTCTCCCGTATTGAATCCTGCACACTTTATGACGCGGAAACAAATTGTATATCTCACACATGTTATATTTGGGATTACACTTTCTCAGTAAAGTACAGATTCCAGTACTATTGTTGGGTGGAGTCCCATCCGGGATTCGAATCCACACCCTCAGAGTCAGGCACCTAACCGCAGCACACCAAGTCAGCAGTTACACCCACTCAGACACTGTGTCTTCCACAGAATGGAAGTCGGGCAACTGGTCGTGGTAGTCTAGGTCGCGGGATTTTTTATATATCGTATGTCATCGGTTCCCAATTGCACAGATCAATGCTCATGCTGTTGATCACTGGATTGTCCAGTCCAGACTGGATTATTTACAGACCGAAGCCATATAGCTGGAATATTGCGGCGTAAAACTAAATTCACTCACTCACTGATATATCACAACATTTTCCGCTTATTTTAAAATACATACATAATAGGAATACCCTAGAAATGACAAAATTGCCCCTTTGTTATCTGGGTTTAGTCGTTCGTGTTTGAAAAGATATGTTTTTCAACCAGATACCATAGGATTTTATGCAACTATTTTCTTTCTTTTTTTTTATTGTTCACAATGTGATGAGTACAATAATATGATGAGTACAAAAGTATGATGAGTACAAGCATATAGAGGAATATGTGTACATAGCAGCTAGTGGGTTCAATAGCGATATAGTACATTATGTACATTCAATATCAATATCAGTAATATGTTTTGGTTAAATAGTCATTCATGGTTAAATTCAGGGATGAGAGGAAACCATTTTGCTAAAAAGCTTCATCATTATTTTTTTCTGGAGATGTATGCTTCAGTGGTAAGTATGTCTTTCAATATCCTGAAGTAATTTTTTTCAAAGAGCAAGTGTAAATATACCTCTTAGCAGATAAGATTATGTGATTCAGTAATGGGTTCTTACCTAAAAAGCCAAACCAGATCAAAGATTTTGTCAAATTAAGTGTTTAGATACGTTTCGTAATCCACTGTTCAAGTTTCTTCCAGAAAGTTTTGGTTTCATCACATTCCCAATATACATGGCATAAGGTCTCAACAGAATCATTACAAAAAGAACATATTGTATTGTCAACCAGATTCATCATAAAAAGTTCTTTTTTGATATAAAAAATTCCATGCAGAAATTTATATTGAAAATCTAACAGTTTCACATCTCTAAATTCTTTCTACAAATATCAAAAATCAAATGCCAATCAAAATCAATACAATCAAATAATGTTTCCCATTTTTTGGCACATGTGAGGTTTACATTTACAGATAACAATTTATCATAGAATACTCTTGAACCTTTTATTGGGGGGATGTGAAATCCTTTTGGAGAGAATTTATGGCAAGGTCATTAATGTTTATATATCTATATTCCTTTATAGTCTTTTTCCAGGGTTCAGGTAAAATATATATAACATATCCAAGATCTAAGTGAGTACCTCTTATATCAAATTTAAGCTTCAAATGATCAAAGGATATAAACCCATGTTCATCACAAAGATCTTTGATCGTCAAGATTCCACTTTTAGCCCAGTGACTAATGATGTGATTTGAATTTTTAAAATTGTTATTCAGCCATAAAGGTTGGGATAAGATTTCATTAATTTTCTCTGCATCTATAGTGTTTTTGATACAATAGAATTCCCATGCCTTTAAAACATCTTTCCCAAAAGGATTAGCAACTGCAACTATATTCTGAAAATTTGGGTTACCAGGATTTTTTAATTTTTTTAAAGTATACTTTGAGTGTAGATAATTTCATGGCGTTAACAAAGGTCTTAATATCAATCATGCGTAGACCCCCCATTTTGTAATCTTTTTTAAAGTGCTCCGTTTGATTTTGTCATTTTTGTCATTCCAGATGAATTTAAAAAACACTCTCTCAAGCGCGGTGATAAAATCCTCTGGAGGGTTAGGTAAAATGTTAAAAATATGAACTAATTTTTAAAGAGCCAATGTCTTAATAACAGTCATTTTCCCTATCAGAGTCAAATGGTTTTTTCTCCAAGCTGCCAGTAATCTATTAATTTCTTCCAGTCTTTTCTTTGTGTTAATAACCCATACATCATTCAAATCCGGTTTAATTTTAATTTCTAATAGTTCAAATTGTTTTCTTTCGGTCTATATTCAAATCTTGACATAGTATATCCTTGCTACCAGCTTTTGAGCCAGTCCAGATTGTTTTAGTCTTATCTATGTTTATCTTTAGTCCTGACATATTGTAAAATGTATTAAGTGTGTCTATAGCAGAATACAAGTTTTCATCTGAACCATCCAAAAATAATTCAGTGTCATCTGCATATTGACCTAATTTGTATTCTTGATCATCAGAGAGATCAGAGAGATGCCCATTCTGAATAACACATGAAGTTGTGTCATATGTTAAGACATTATTCAAACGTATAATCTTTGGACCAAAACCAAATTTTACAGAATTGATAAAATCCTTGGAAACTGCTTTTTCGAAATCAATCAAAATTGATAAACCTGACATGTCTCTTTTCCTAGTTTCAAACATAATGTCATAAAATAGCCTTGTGTTTTCACTTAATGTTCTGCCAGGTATAAATCCAGTCTGGTTGTTATGTATCAGGGAATCAAGGGTAGTTTTTTAACCGATTTGAGATACATGCACTTATTAATTTATACAGAGCATTTAATAAAGTAATTGGTCTCCAGTTCTTCAATAAGTTCCTATTTTTATTAGCTTTAGGTATACAAGTGATAACTCTTCTCTTCATGGTAAGAGACATCTTATTTCTTTTGATACATCTTTGATAAATCTGAAAATCCAGACCTTAAGTTCTTTCCAGAAGAATTTAAAGAAATCAATTGGAAATCCATCTATACTGGGGCTTTTGTTATTTTTCAACATTTTATTGCCAATGATATTTCATTTATGTTTAATTCTTTTTCCAATTTGTCTCTCTGTTAGTGACTCAAGGTTGGAGTTATCACATTTTCTAAACAGGCATCATTCTCATAGTTCTCAGCAGAAGAATACAGTTTTTTATAAAACTCTTCAAGTTCATTTAAGATCGCATCGCTGTCAGTAATTTCTTAATTCTTATCTGTAATAATTTTATTAATTGATTTGCTGACATAATTCCTATTTTCTAAGTGACAGAGATAGTTTGTTGGTTTTCCCCTTCTTTATACCATAGAATTCTGTTTCTGAGTTGAATTCCTCGTATCTCTTCTTCCTTAATTTGTTGTAGTTCTGATATTAATTTAGAAAGTTCAGACAGTAAGGCTTCATGTACGTTTTGAAATTTTTTTCTAATAGTATCTTCACAATCTCTTATTTTAGTTTCTAACTCACTTGTTTTGTCCTTTGTTTTCTTTTTAAGATAAGATGAAAAAGATATTGATTTACCTCGAACATTCATCAGAAATGTTTCTAAGAATAAGCTGTCATCTATCTTAAGTTTGATATCTGAGTCATTCACATTCTCAACATAGGAGTCAATATCTGAGTATTTTTTGGAAGATTGATCTGACTAAATCAGCAAATTCGGGATTTAAGAGTAAAGAAGTATTGAATTTCCAGCAACCCCTTCCTCTTTTTTGATTAATAGTGTTTGAGAAAATAAAACTAACTAAACTAAAAATAAAACCTGAATGGTCTATTTTATAGTCAGGTATGATGTCAGAATCAAGTGAATGATTTAACATGTCCTGCGAAATTTAAAAAAAAGTCCAATCTTGCTTGCTGTCTAGGTTTTTTTCCACCATGTATATTTTTTTAAATCAGGATTTAGTTCCCGCCAGATATCAATAAGATCAAATTTTGGTAATTGCTCATTTGATAAAAACACTGATTTTTATACAAACCCATGTCTGTTCAAGTACGGCCCTGGAATATTTAATGTTGAATTTATTTGTGAATGTGAACATTCAAAATGTCATTTTGCGTGTCTTACACGATTCAAGGTCAATACAGAGCGTCACCTCCATGTCACTGTATGACAGCCAGCACTATCCTCCTCATACCCCTTGTCATCCTCCTGATCCTCTGAAAGGGCAGTACACGCCATTCCCCGTGTAAAGCAGTTTCCAGTTGGACCAGGTTATGTACAGGAAGATCCCCTTATTTACATACGACGACCAATCATGTCCCAGATATGCTCGAAAGGGTTAAGATTGGGCTCATTCAATCGTGAGTGAGTGACTTGAGTTTTACGCCGCACTCAGCAATATTCCAGCTATCTGGCGGCGGTCTGATCAACAGCATGAGCATCGATCTGCGCAATGGGAAACCGATGACATGTGTCAACCAAGTCAGCGAGCCTGATCACCCAATCCCGTTAGTCGCCTCTTACGACAAGCATGGGTTACTGAAGGCCAATATTCTAACCCGGACCTTCACGGGTCCATTCAATCGTGAATATGTCAGGGATGCTTAACTAAGTTCTTTGTGTGTATTATACGGTACCTGCTTGATCACACTTCTACCAGAACGACGGTCTGCGTGAGTCATTGACATTGGCAATGATTTGAAACCTGTGAATTGTTTATCAAACATGGTATTATTTCTGTCTATTTTACTACCTGTTGACGTCAATCACGTCAGTTTGGTTTCCTGTTCAATGTCCTGCTTTTCTTACTATTTAGAAATAGAGCACAGTAATGGACTGTGGAAGTGATGACGTCACATCCGGTGCAATCTCAGATCAAACTGACAGGTATGCAATATTGGACTAACACCTGTCAGAACTAACTGAGTAACAACATTCACACCTGTGTCGAGCAGTACACAACACTTTAAGGTGAAAGAGCCAGAACTAATAATATACCTTTACTATTCGGCGCGCAGATCGTACCGGAAATGACATCATGCCATTGTTATTTTCATTAAGTAGGAAATAGGACGTTTATATGCTTTCGTGTATACATTTATTACAACATTATTTGTGTCAGTGAATAAAGCCTTTAGAATTGTAAGGGAATATAGTTTTACGCCGCTTTTAGCAATATTTCACGACTTGTAAGTTCAATGTAGGATATTAGCCCAATGGGCGCAACTCCGCACAGCAAATTGCGGTGCCTCTTACGGGAATGTTACCCGTCCCTCAAATATTTAGAATATGAAATATTTCCCTCCTGTTTTATCTGTAATTATATGGAAAAAACACATGAGCAAGAAATATTAACACGGTACGAATATTTAAATCATTTCGCAGACTTACGTGAAGATTAAGCCAATCGCTGTGTTCCATTTCTTCACATGACTTGACTGCTCTTTCTGGAATAGCGCGTGTTTTGCTTCTAACAATGTTGGGGTTGGTTGTGGCAACTAATTTCTTTTTTATTCATGGTATTATGAGCGTCGCATGTGAATCATTATCATTCTTGATCATACTTTTATTTGTCTAATCCTGGGCTACCTGTAGTGGACTAGTGTTTCATTTAATCATACCATGCCCACGGCATACACCATGACATGAACAAGGTATGCCGTCAAAGCGTTTAGCCCTCACCCTGGTTCCACTGGCAATTTATCTAGAGGATGTTATATTCGTTTGCTGTATAGACGTTTTTAGGGGTTTGGTTGTTTGGTTGTTTGGTTGTTTGGTTGTTTGGTTGTTGTTGTTGTTGTTGTTGTTAAACGACACACTCCAGCAATATTCCAGCTATATGGCGGCGGTCTGTAAATAATTGTGTCTGGACCAGACAATCCAGTGATCAACAGCATGAGCATCGATCAACGCAATTGAGATAGGATGACATGTGTCAACCAAGTAAGCGAGTCTGACCACCCGATCCCGTTAGTCGCCTCTTACAAGCACGGGTTGCTGAAGACCAGGGTGCCGTTGTACAAAGCGAAATTAGTTGACCGTAACTCCCATACCTTAACATAGACTTAAGGTAATCTTAGCGCTAAGGTTGTTTTGTACAACGGCACCCTGGGCCCCGTTTCACAAAGCGCTTGCAGCGCTAAGGTGATCGTAAGTCCCATACTTTAACATAGTGAGTGAGTGAGTGAGTTTGGTGTTACGCCGCTTTTAGCAATACTCCAGCAATATCACGGCGGGGGACACCAGAAATGGGCTTAACACATTGTACCCATGTGGGGAATCGAACCCGGGTCTTCGGCGTGACGAGCGAACGCTGTAACCACTAGGCTACCCCACCGCCCCACTTTAACATAGACTTACGATAGTCGTAGCGCTACGATCGCTTTGTGAAACAGGCCCCAGTTCTAAGCCGGATCTTCAGGGGTGTACATAAGTTTCGTCTCAAGCATAATGTTCATACGTTATCTCGTCCTCATTGCTCCAACCTTTCTTGCAGAGGTGACGCCGCTGTGGGAGACGTAGGGGCACCTGTCATCACCGCCCATGCAGCTCGTCGTGTCACGACAACCATACCATGTACTGGCGAACATCCGGGCAGGCAACGTGTAGAATTATACTGGAAAATGTTCTGACAGTGATCGCAGCGAATATTTTGTAGCCACTTCTCTTTGACAACCCTCTGCCAGAAACGTTCACCAGCCACAAGCACTTAACCGAATAATTATTTCACATTGGAAACGACATTTTTCTTACATTTTAACATTATAACTTAACATTTGTTTCAGAAATCATTCTTTTTTTTTCCTTCCGGTATGTCAGAAACAACTCTTATAACGACTCTTTGTTTTTGTGCCACGTTCCACCGACCAGAAACTCCTTCCTGTGTTCCTGTGGTAATCGGCCAGAAACCTTTTCCCCCATCCTAAGCTCCAGAAAAAGGCGTTTCTGTCTTCCAGAAGCGACTAATTGCCGTTTTCCTTTCTGCCTTTCTGCAAGAATCCGTTTCCCTCTTCTTTCTGTCAGGAACGAGTCTTTCTCGGTTCCCTATCTTTCAGAAACCACCACTTCCTGCTTTTCTATCTGCCAAAAGCAACACCCACCTTACAATATTTCAAACCTGTTCCGTTTGTCTGTCAATTTCTTGTGTGTACATGTGGGAAATTACAATTCCTTCTTTAAGGTAGCTAGCGACGTTTATTTCAACCAAACCGGAGTACTTTTACGATCATCAGCCATTCGTGAGTGTCATCTGGCTGGATGTTTCTGCGATCATTTACAGAACAGTTCCTAAACGTTATGTATTTGTATGTAGGAGTCTTGTACCTATATACCCCCGGATGTTACCACTATATTGTATCATGGTTGTATCAATGTTTGTATAATTATTAGCCACAATCAACTTGAATAAAAACCTTTAAATTGGTGTCTATTTTTGTTCATGGTAGAATAGAACATGTCAAAGCCACAGAATAGTGGGGTTCGCAGGGGCTTGAAAAAACCTGAAATTTGGACCTTTTACCCTAAAAAGCCTTAATTTGTTGTATCCTTGAAAAGGCCCTAATTGCCAGTGGTATGTCCTAAACCGCCCTGTCTTTAGCAAACCTTGTCAAGATAGGATTCATCTGTCGGATACTCCAGAGGAACCATACAAATATACCATTAAGATTAATCCGTCAAAGCCACAGAATAGTGGGGTTCGCATGGACTTGAAAAAACTGAAATTTGGACCTTTTACCTTTCTAAAAGGCCTTCAATTCGTTGTATCCAAGACTAACGCTTAGTCATTGAATGTATATATTTTGATTGTAACAAATAAACCCACTTAAATTGAAAAATGAGACCCAGGGAGACCAGAGATTCAGAACCTGGAGAAATCTAGACTTGCTTCATTTAGGGCTTTTAAACATTGCAGGGAGGGCTAGGCAGTAGGGAGAATAATGTGGTTCAGGGACTGTGAGACAGACTAGCTGTATCCTCAAAAAGGCCATAATTGCCAGTGGTGTGCCCTTTGTTTAGCAACACTTGTAAAGATATGACTCACCTGTCTGATACTTCAGAGGAACCATACAAATATACAACACTAACCACCTAGAATAATCAGTCTCCATTACCTTCCCGAAGACATTCCGTTCAACTTCAAGACACAATGCAAGTGGAAATCATATGAAAGGACAAAACACAACACCAATCCTTATCACTGGTATATATTTATTGATATTCCATACATACTCACACCATTCTGGGACATTCCTGGGAAATGACCATTACCATGACAACAGATACGTTTAGGGAAACCTGGGAGTTGACAAGTTTATGGTGGCCTTTGTAACTGAATGAAATCAACTGAGAAAACATTCATTATACAACATACATATAGGAGGAAATTATCCTTGACTGGCCTGTAAATAACCAGGCGGTGAAGACTCTACAAGATTAAGGTTGTTGCGATGGCTGTAAATGGTGCTGATCCAAGTCATAAGTATTGGAGGATAACACGATTATAACACATCGCAAACGTCCAGATATGCAAAATCCATAGTGTAGATAGGGTAACAACAGAATAAACTTGCGTAATTAAGCGAGTGAGTTCAGTTGTACGCCGCACTCAGCAATATTCCAGCTATATGGCGGCGGTCTGTAAATAATAGAGTCTAGACCAGACAATCCAGTGATCAACAGCATGAGCATCGATCTACGCAATTGGGAACCGATGACATGTGTCAACCAAGTCAGCCAGCCTGACCACCCGATCCTGTTAGTCGCCTCTTACAAGCATGGGTTTACTGAAGGCACATTCTAATTCAATGCGGATTTTCCGACGACTGACCATGACAGAAGATGAACAAAGTTCGGTTGTTCGGCTTATGTACGGAACATACCATGTTAATATTGATTTTAAGGGTCAAGTTAGGACCTCGGCTTATCTAAAAGGCTGACCTATCTACGGTAATATTCGGTACCAACTCCATATTGGTTTGGAGGATTCAGGGTTCATTCAGATTGTATCTGGGACACAGTAGTGTTGTACATGCAAATACAATCATGTTTTTAATTAGTCCTATATGTAGATTCAAATTTTACGAGATAAATAACTTAACACGTTATATCTGGGACTACGCTTTCTCAGATAAATAATGGTGTACGTAAACAATGTCACGCTTATATTTGGATGTATTTCAAATTTGTTCAGAGATTTAAATTCAATTTGACCCTGTCTCAGTTCATTTGAGATCTGTGTTCATAAGTATACTGAGTTTAGAGGTGACAAATGAGTGTCAAAGTGACGAATTGTATGGTGTTGTGGATTCATGGGAGGGTGGGGCTGGTATCATGGTTGTTAAACTGAGGGGGAACAAAACCACAACCCTCTTGTAACTGTTACCGCCCAACAATCCAGAGACCAGAACATCATAGCTTCTGGTCTTTTGCCCACGCCTACCAGAAACGACAGAGGGGCTATTATTCCATTTAGTCCATTTCCACAGACAGATCTGAGTGAGTGAGTGGGTTTAGTTTTATGCCGCACTCAGCAATAATCCAGCTATATGGTGGTGGTCTGTAAATAATCAAGCCGAACCAGACAATCCAGTGATCAACAGCATAAGCATTCATCTATGCAATTGGGAACCGATGACATGTGTCAACCAAGTCAGCGGGCCTGACTATCTGATGCCGTTAGTCGCCTCTTAAGACAAGCATGGGTTACTGAAGATCAATTCTAGCCCAGATCTTCACGGGTCAGACAGATCTGAGATGATCATAACCCAGTGACCGCTCTAGTTTGCTTTGTGAAAAAGTGCGTACGACAATACTCACAAAATATGTTGTAGGACATACATTATGTAATTTAATCATATCTGACATAAAAGATTTTCGACTGGAATGATGGATGTCCTGAAGCAGTAGTGTCATGTAGTTAAAACACATCCCAGCCAAGCTTCCCCAAGACATTTAAATGGTCTGTATATCACATTCCTCGTTTCTGCTGACACTGCATTTCTCAACATTCACTCCCTGTAAAAACATACCAAACATGTCCCGACACACACTGGGGTAGGCTGGGATTTCCCCACATCTATTTATAGACACATTGCAATACAAAACATCAAGTACAAACAGCTGTAAATAAATCATGGTTCTGTCAGTCTTATCGTGTAACAATATTTTCATATGCAATATGACAAGTAAAAAGCGAAAAAACTCAAGTGAGTACTGTACCTTGAACTGTGACAGATTATGATACATTCCTTGCACTGTAACTTGCAGACAGTGTGGCTCCTTAAAACCCTAGGGTTTTAACTCAACCAACAAAAAATGTTTTCACATTTACAATTAACATTCTAACCCGGACCTTCATGGGTTCATCACTCAAAAGGCTGCATCTATAAAGTCACTCTAACTGATCAGATGTTAAAGTCCTATGCGACATACGTCATATGCATTGTAACCTGAAGACAAGCAGAGATGATAAACTATGAGCGAGAAGGTGTTCCCCATGATTAGAAATATTCCATGATAGCGTGGGAGGACACCATAAATGGTGTTGTTGAAGACATGGAGGAATGTGATTGGTTGACTGTGAACATGAAGCCAGTATGGCTGCAACATCTATGTCAGGTTAACTCAACACAGGTTAATACAATAAAACATTTCATCCACAATTCTTCCTATACAAACTGATTAGTGACCTGAACATGCTGGTGCTCATGCATACTACCAGGGAGACTATATAAGGTTGTAGAGTATCCCTGATACTACAGAGTCTATGTGGCTTGTCAGTAGACCACATCACATACAACCTGCACTTACATATCACCCAAGCCCTGGTCATGGCTCAAGTCTACAATCTTTACTTAAATGCGATATCCAAAAAACAATCAAATGACCCAGAAAGGCCAATAAAAAAATGTTGTGGTTCTGATCACACCTCTTTAAAAATTTAGGATAGGTAGGTATATATATTTTTTTTTCATTTTTTATCAATGTGTTATAGTTTATTTAATTAATTTTCAGATTGCATGCTTGTGGCCATCCTGTCGACTTTCTCTATCAGAATGGCCGATGTCAGTCGAAACCGTGAAAAAGCGATCGCATCTAAAAGCATATTTTATTCATTCCTCTAAAAAAAGAGGATCGGCACTATAATTTAAGGGTTGGTCGGGTAATCGTAACCACAACAATTATATTTCTTTAGGCCTAATCATGAATATCAATGAGATATCAGGTGCACCAGAAACAATGCATCCGATGGTGATAGGAACATCCACAAACATCCATATAAATATGTGAAACACTGATTATGATACAACTGTACAATATACATGATGTCTGCCTACACTCACACTAGTACTTAGATATCGTGACACCACACATGCCAATCTTTCACTTTCTCTCAAACTGCATAACATTATAAGAGTGAGCGAGTGAGTTAGTTTTGTGCCGCACTCAGCAATATTCCAGCTATATGGCAGTGGTCTGTAAATAATCGAGTCTGGACCAGACAATCCAGTGATCAACATCATGAGCATCGATCTGCGCAAATGGGAACCGATGACATGTGTCAACTAAGCACGAGCCCGTTAGTCGCCTCTTACGACAAGCATGGGTTACTGAAGATCACATCTAACCCGGATCTTCACGGGTATAACATTATAAGGAATTATGTTCAACACACACCAATGGCATAGTTCAAAACATTTTTTATAACACTATAGTTCAAAACTACTTTTGTTTCGTAACAAATCACCTACTTCTTTCCAAGACAAACACATACTAAATATTGGTGCTTATGGTCAGAATCTAGCAGTGGGTGGCCAAGCAGTTGGAGTGTTTGTTCGTTATTCCCAGGTTCAATTCCCATATAGGTATTAAGAAAACCAGTCTGCAAATTTAGCCACTTGCCTGAAACTGAGTAAAATGCTTTTCGGTCTAGTAAGATCAGCTAACTAAAGGAAAACAAGTGATGAAAATAATGCTATGAGCCTAGTTCAGGCCAATGCGCTCACTAGATTCTTGCTAAGACTGAAAGTCTACGAGGCTGTGATGAGATCACACTGTAATGCCCTTTAATTCCGAATTAAAGAAGACGTGGAACAAGATGCCTGATCACACTCCATCTATTCTAGTCTGGACTAAATTCACAGAAAATCAAATTTATACGCAGACTTCCACCAGGGCTCGATTTAAGAGATGTTAACCTACTTGCACCAGGTGCAACCTAAGATAAAAACCTAGTTGCACCAGCCAAATTCCAGTTGCACTGCTTTTATTGCAATATGCAATGTAAGAAATATGGTATTGAATTATTTAGTTGTTTTAGTGAGAGTTTACCCACTCAAAAATTGAGTTGCACAAGGTGCAAGTTCAGCTAATAGCTAGATTGCACTTTGTAATATTGGGTTGCACCAGTGCAAGTAACAAAGTACTAAATCGAGCCCTGTCCACCCATCAACAAACCAATGAGAAGATTCATAGAGCGAGTCTTGGAAGATATCCACAAAGCGTCCGTAGCATTATGCCATCCGAAAGTACATGATAGGTCGTAACGCTACGAACACTTTGTGGATCAGGATCCTTGGCCATGATTTACACAAATGATCCAATTCCTATAAATCATGACAATCATGTCTTGCGAGGCTTGGCTTTCTTCTTGGCGGCAGCAGCCGAGGCGCTGATGTCCTGCATTGGTTCCGGCGTGGTTGCCATGACGTCATACTGGGGTGGTTTCATCATGTTCTGGACCTGATCAATGCCCTGACTCATAAAAGGCAGGACCTGAAGTGAAGAAACCTTAGGTGAGGTGAGGTGAAATTGGGTTTAACGTCGTGCTTGAGAATATTTCGCTCATATGACGACGTGCATGCGTGTGTATGTGTATGTGCGGCTGCTTGTACTAGCCCAGACTTAAGCTGGTTTTATAGTGCCAGCTCACTGAGATACCATGCCGCAGTATGCTGACTCCGAGCCGACCAGTCCTTGTTGTTCCCATTAATGCCGAGCGCCAGGCAGGGACCAACAAGTACCATATTTTAACGTCTTTTGGTATGACGCGGTCAGGCATCGAACCCGCGACCTTCCGCTCTCCGGGCGGACGCTCTAACCACTACACCACGGAGGCGGTCTGAAGAAACCTTAGATATAGAGACACCAGACATAACCTCCAAAATGCATTTTAATCAACATTTGAAACAACTATTATTCTGCCAGGTTTGAGTAGTAAACTGATTTTGGAAATTCAGTTCCTGGACAATTAACTGGCCAACAATTTGTGGCGAGTGGTTTCTGTAGTGCCTCTTCATGCATGAATTTGAGCACCACACCTGTAAATCCTCGTCAAAGCAATTAAGACAATCCCACAAATCTTGCTTCTATAACTGTCCATATTAGTGTACAGGAGTTGCTTATAATGACTGAGTTTAGTGTTACACCGCTTTTAGCAATATTCCAGCCATATCACAGCAGGGGAAACCAGAAATGGGCTTCACAAATTGTACCCATGTGGGGAATCGAACCCGGGTCTTTGGTGTGATGAGCAAACGCTTTAACCACAAAGCTACCCATCTCCCCGAGTTGTTTATTAAAATGAGACTTGAGCCATGTAAGTCAGACTACAAGTGAGTCTCCCACCTTCTGGTAGTTGTAGGCGAGGTAGACGGCGCTGAGGAGGAGGGGGAGGAGGAGGAAGGAACCGCTGCTCAACTCCTGCTCCAAAGACTTGCGCTGAAACGGAGAGACAAGCTGATCACAATTACTGCAACATCATTATGTAGAGGGTAATGTCCGAGTAACTCTCCATTCCTTAAAAATAATTGACCATTATTTTTAAGGACTGACTGACTGACTGAGTTTGGTTTTACGCCGCTTTTAGCAATATTCCAGCAACATCACGACGGGGGAACACCAGAAATGGGCTTCACACATTGTACCCATGTGGGGATTCGAACCCGGGTCTTCGGCGGGACGACCCAATGCTTTAACCACTAGGCTACTCCGCCGCCCCTTATTTTTAAGGAATGGAGAGTTACGAGGATAATACCCAACTTAAATTACATTCAAAGTATTGGTAATATTTCTGTTAGCAAAATTAAATGTCAAAATGACAAAATGAAGTCTTAAATTTGAAACTGGTACACATCGCTCCATTCCTGAAAGGAAATGGATTGAGCAGACAATGGAATGACGTCATAAATGTAATTTAAACATACACGACTCTTCCCATGGAGTTGAGAATGTTATTCTTGGTGATCTTTGATACTGACAAAGCATGTGAAATTGCACATAACAAATGTATTAGTGGTGCAATAATGTAGACAGATTTTAGCAGCTGTTTCGAGGTGTGGAGCATGTTTAGAGGCATTGAGCATGTTCAAAGGCATTTTGTGTGGAGCATGTTCAAAGGTCGATTTTGTGTGGACAAGTAAGAGTTTGTCAAAATATTTTTTTAAATTCTTTCAATAAAAACATACAAGTAACCATGGCAACATGTAGGTTTCAAGTTTCACCCAGTGAGTCAGTGAGTGAGTGGCCTGTGAATTTAGTATTAATAAAGTAATTAGCAGTAATAAAACATTCAGACAGATAGAACTAGGCAAGGAAATGGATCTCGACAAAGTGTTCTTACCCTGGGCTGGAAGACAAGTGTGAAGTGATGGTACGTGGTGTTGGCGGTGAACAGCACCTCCGGTAGTGAGTAGTCGTACATGCCTTTATGGAGGGTGCTCTCTACACGGATTGTATACACCTGGACAGAAACAACAACATGACACAATCAGGTGACACAATCAGGTGACACAATCAGGTGACACAGACGAACCATCCAGGCCTCCTAGGTGTGAGACTCCTCGCTATGGCCATCCATTGGTAACTTGGGGGATACTGCAGTCTGGGGTGAAAGCATTGGTATCCATTGGTAGACCCAACACGTATCTCCCATGTTAAACATAGAAGACTTTGATATGGTCAACAACCTGACTCTACTTCATGATGTTTGGTATAGTTCCCAAGACCTCAATGTTTGGCACAGTTCCCAAGACCTCAATGTTTGTTACAGTTTCCAAGACCTCAATGTTTAGCATAGTTCTCAAGACCTCAATGTTTAGCATAGTTCTCAAGACCTCAATGTTTAGCATAGTTCTCAAGACCTCAATGTTTAGCATAGTTCTCAAGATCTCAATGTTTGGCATAGTTCTCAAGATCTCAATGTTTGGCACAGTTCTCAAGATCTTATTGTTTGTTACAATTCCCATGACCTCAATGTTTGGCATACTTCTCAAGACCTCAATGTTTAGCATAGTTCTCAAGACCTCAATGTTTAGCATAGTTCTCAAGATCTCAATGTTTGGCATAGTTCTCAAGATCTCAATGTTTGGCATAGTTCTCAAGATCTTATTGTTTGTTACAATTCCCAAGACCTCAATGTTTGGCATACTTCTCAAGACCTCAATGTTTGGCATACTTCTCAAGACCTCAATGTTTAGCATAGTTCTCAAGACCTCAATGTTTAGCATAGTTCTCAAGATCTCAATGTTTGGCATAGTTCTCAAGATCTCAATGTTTGGCACAGTTCTCAAGATCTTATTGTTTGTTACAATTCCCATGACCTCAATGTTTGGCATACTTCTCAAGACCTCAATGTTTAGCATAGTTTCCAAGACCTCAATGTTTGTTATAGCTCTCAAGACCTCAATGTTTGGCACAGTTTCCAAGACCTCAATGTTTCTTATAGTTCTCAAGATCTCAATGTTTGGCATAGTTCTCAAGATCTCAATGTTTGGCACAGTTCTCAAGATCTTATTGTTTGTTACAGTTCCCAAGACCTCAATGTTTGGCATACTTCTCAAGACCTCAGTGTTTAGCATAGTTCTCAAGACCTCAATGTTTGTTACAGTTCCCAAGACCTCAATGTTTGTTACAGTTCCCAAGACCTCAATGTTTGGCACAGTTCCCAAGACCTCAATGTTTGGCATAGTTCCCAAGACCTCAATGTTTGGCATACTTCTCAAGACCTCAACGTTTAGCATAGTTTCCAAGACCTAAATGTTTGTTATAGCTCTCAAGACCTCAATGTTTGGCATACTTCTCAAGACCTCAATGTTTGGCATACTTCTCAAGACCTCAATGTTTAGCATAGCTTCCAAGACCTCAATGTTTAGCATAGCTTCCAAGACCTCAATGTTTGTTACATTGTTTGGCATAGTCAACTAGCCAATCCAATCATCCTCACAAATTGATCTAAGTTCCGGAATCCTGGACATGGCATGTACAAACCAGAATCTGAGTTACCTACCTTGTTGTCTATGGGGAGGGACGGCATGTAGAAGAAGGTTGTGACGGCCATGTTGATGGTGTGGATGGGGCTGTCGGGGGAGTCCTCACGGTAAAGCAGCACCTGTAGCCAACACATAACATGTTCAACTTACAATCTTACCCATGAAGATCTGGGTTAGAATTGACCTTCAGTAACCCATGCTTGTCATAAGAGGCGACTAACGGCATCGGGTAGTCAGGCTCGCTGACTTGGTTGACACATGTCATTGGTTCCCAATTGCATAGGTATATGCTCATGCTGTTGATCACTGGATTGTCTGATCCAGACTTGATTATTTTCAGAAGGTCGCCATATAGCTGGAATATTGCTGAGTATGGCATAAAATTAAACTCACACACTCACTAACAATCTGCATCCATATCAGATGAACCTGGTACATACATTGTTTTAGCCTACTTCCTCTCATTCACATTCGATAACTTTCTTTCGGCTTTCAGTATATACTGTGGGAAAGGAATGAGGAACATGATAAAGTGCAAGTATTCCTCTAGTTTTTTTAAAGTTTGCTTGCATGTTTTGCATGGCACTGTGGGTGAAAACCTGGAAATAAGTAAAGGAACACTTGAACTTTCATGAGTTCCCTTATTTGTTTCCATCAGTATATTTGGACATGCCTTGACAATCAGGTCAAACCCAGTAGTAAATAAATTTTGCTCCCATGATGCTGAAAGAAGAACCACTCACTCACTCACTCACTCACTCACGTGATCTGGCATTAGTCAAGGGATGCAATTCTAAAAGTGGTGTTTAACAAGAAAGACGATCAATCCAACTTAATAGTATTAATTGTCATAAGTGTGAGTGAGTGAGTTAATATTTAACGTCACATCGGCAATATCTCAGCCATATCGTGATGAAATTGTCATAATAAACACGAGGTACACTTACTCACAAATACAAATCTAGATGGGGGGAGCAGGTGTGTCAGCAAAACCTAGAGTACTGAATCAATGATCCGTGTTTGTTTCCCCTCAGCCTCATTAGATCAGAACCTCCACTTAGAGTCAGGATGTAGTGAACATCATAGGGGATATACCAAGTCAACAAGCTTCAGACACCACTGAGTGTGTGACTGTACCCTGTATAAATCAATAATCCCAACTACCACCTACCTTGAGGGAGGCCAGATGCTCCTGGGGGACGATGATATTCCCACTGATGTCTAGCTGGTTGAGGTGACGGAAGGCAATCACGTTCACGTCCTGGAAGTCTTTACTGTCAACCTACAGGTGTGAAAACAAAGATTGATCAGGCACTCAATAATGAACAGTCTGTTTGTTTAGTTGTTTATTCCCTTCTTCAGCATTATTCCAGTTAGACCAAACAATCGAGTGATTGCTATCCGAGCATTCATCTACACAAGTGGCATGCAGGCGACATGCAACGGCCAAGTCAGGAAGTCCCACCTAATATTGATAGTCACCTGTTGAGTAAGTTTAGTTTTACGCCGCACTCAGCAATATTCCAGCTAATCCAGTGATCCAGTGATCAACAGCATGAGCATCGATCTGCGCAACTGGGAACCGATGACGTGTCCACCAAGCTAGCGAGCCTGACCACCCGATCCCTTTAGTCGCCTCTTACGACAAGCATGGGTTACTGAAAGTTCATTCTAACCCGGACCTTCACGGGTAATCGCCTGTTAAGAAAAGCATGGGTTGCTGAAGACCAACTCTACCCAGATCTTCATGAGCCGACTGTACATGGGTCTGAGTCCTACCCAATAGCGATCCGACCTGGGAGTTGCTCGTCACAGCACTACCTAAATCACCACTAGGTACACAAACAATATTGAGTGAATGTCTGGTGTGCGACAGCACAATTACACACACATCATATTGAGGTGAGGTGAAATTGGGTTTTACCTCGTACTTGAGAATATTTTGCTCATATGACGACGTGCATGCGTGTGTATGTGCAACTGCTTGTACTGACCCAGACTTAAGCTGGTTTTATAGTGCCAGCTCACTGAGATACCATGCCGCAGTATGCTGACTCCGAGCCGACCAGTCCTTGTTGTTCCCATTAATGCCGAGCGCCAGGCAGGGACCAACAAGTACCATATTTTAACGTCTTTTGGTATGACGCGGTCAGGCATCGAACCCGCCACCTTCCGCTCTCCGGGCGGACGCTCTAACCACTACACCACGGAGGCACATCATATTGAATACACAATGCCATTTAGAAAGTGGTCAAATGTAACACATGTTATATTTGGCAGAGCTACATAAGCTGCGTATCTGCGTAAATTATGCAAATATTTATGTGAAACTCAATTCCTATTAAGTCTATTGCGTACAAGTACGCTTGAGTTTTGGTAAATACTCAATAAATGTGATCTTACATGCATACACACGAAAATGTCAAATCGGTGGATAGATAAAATAACAGGCATTCTGAGAGGTTCTATTTCAGGGCGTGAACTTAACAACTTATCATTTCTCATATTACAGATCAAATGTAAATATCAAACACTAACATTTAAACTTTTTTAGATTTTCAAAATTATTGGAAAACAGCAAAATACCCAATTGAGTTTGAGTGGGATGAGTACAATTTAATTGTATACTCAAAGGAAAATAAGGATACCCAATTTACCTGTGAGCAGAGAGAACAGCAGCTGGTTGCACAAGAAACAAGAAGACAATAGTACACATGGTGTGTTTACCTTGAGTATCCTTGACGTGGGGGCTGTCCTCTCTATGTGCGTGTTCACCTCACCACCCTTCAGTCTCAGGAGGTACTCACACTTCGGCTGCAAGAAACGAAAACACTACTATCACATGCCACTCACTCACTCTACAATAGTCCTCTTCATACAAAGAGGAAGCAATACTTACAAATATTCTGGCCAATTATTCCCGACAAATATGTGTAAGCGAAAAGTGGAAAATGTCCACCACAGCAAACGATCCTTGCTCACAGCAAAAAACACAAGGTCACTCCAGCGATTAGAGTTATCTGCCCCTAGCTTAACTTCCAGCTTTTTAGAGGAAAATAAAAATTTGTGCAAGGCACACACCCAATTTCTATGACAAGGCAAATAAATCCCCACAACAAGCAGTGAATGGGTGGGTGAGTGATGAACAAACATACCGAGAATGTACCTTCGGTGTATCAAACAGCAGTTATTTGTGTCTGTTATTTCATCTAACAGTCATGACCACTGTCTACACAATCACTGATTCATTCCAGGCTCTGAAGTAATTATCTGAATCTACACAACAGTACACCATTCAATCCTTTGCAGGACTCTCAGATTACCTGCAAGGACTCGTAAAATTTATTGAAGGGTGCCACCTTAATCTCTATGTTTTTAATCAAAGTAAAACCATGCCAGAGACGCCAACCCTGAATCTAAGGAAAACGGAGTCATGACTGGCTGAAAGCCAGGCCTGAGCACCAAAGGTGCGAGTTGGGCGTGAGCGCTTGGTCGGTCTAAAAAATCGGAGTTTTTTAAAGAGAAATCAGAAAGCAGATTTTGTATTTGAAAATCAGAGTAACTCCTCCAAAATCGGAGTGGTTGGCATCTCTGCCATGGTAATGTGAGCCTTGTACATGATACAATGCTGTGCAGTGTCTAAACGCCACCAGATACAGTGGGACATCTGATCGTACCTCCAGACCCCTGATGCGGTAGGATCCGTCCTGCTCTGTCTTACTCTCCTCCTGGTAAATGGAACACTTGTCTTGCCCCACCGCCTCCACCACCACACCAGGCTCCGGTTCTCCGTTCAGGGACGTCACACGGCCATAACAACTGCAGACAAGTGAAGAGTGAGCGAGTTGGATTTTGAGCTTAGAAATATTTCCAACCATATCATGACAGTGAATGAGTATGGTTTTACGCCGCTTTTAGCAATATTCTAGCAATATCACAGCGGGGGACACCAGAAATGGGTTTCACACATTGTAATCATGTGGGGAATCGAACCCAGGTCTTTGGAGTGACGAGCGAACGCTTTAACCACTTGGCTACCCCACTGCCCCCCTCCCATATCATGACAAGGCACACCAGAAATGGGTTTCACACATTTTACTCATGTAGGGAATCGAACTTGCTTTCATGAGAAACGCATGTACCAGTAGGCTACGACAGATACCCAAAGGAATATATAAGAAATGAAGAAAACACGTTATATTTGGGATTACACTTTCTCAGTAAAGTACAGATTCTAGTACTTTTGTTGGGTTGAGTCCCGTCCAGGATTTGAACCCACACCCTCAGAGTCAGGCACCTATTCGCCATCCCACTAAGTCAGCCTCCTAACCCACTCAGCAACAGCAGCTTCCACTAATAGCATGTGTAACATTTGACTAAATGGAATTGTGTATTCATAGAATTTGGTTGATGTATGCAGTGTTCCTTGGATTTCCTAATTACATTTCAAAATACTCAATCCTGTATAGTTTACATAATGAAAAAATTACTTGATTTCAAAAACTGATCCATAATTCACAAAAAACTCAATGAGCGACTCTTGGGACTGACCTGTACGCCACTCTGGCGCCGGTGATGGTAATCTTGCGTGTTGTTCCCTCCTGAACATCAATCATCTGAGATGAGGGGTCAAACTTGTACTCCTTCATCATCGGGCGCAGGAAGTACTGGCCAGGGCTCTGTACACGACAAGTAACATGTTCATTCCAACGTCAGCCTCACTCAGGGAACAAACCCACCATTGGAGGTTGTATCTTGACCCATCTTAGTGTCAAGCCTTCTACTTCACAGCACAAGTTACGAAGCATGGCAAATCTCATAGCTGCATCTTGAAATGAACTTAAGTGTCAGTTCAGAATGCAAATAATAAAGGTCATTACACAGTGTGGATATGTGAACCTGATCATTTCTGTGCACCAAGACATCAATACCCAACAAGTAGTACCATCGAATTAAGATCTGGGTTCTTGGTTTTCTGAAAACTAAACCCAACCTGGGCATTGTTGAGCTTGTAAAGAAGCTGAATCCTTTCAGAGAGCTATTGCCTGAGCAGCGATTGTTCAGACTTAGAAGTTCTATTGAAGATTTCAACCCAGACAGGGGGACAAGCAAAGCACAATGGTGATCTTTTTGTTTGATATTTTCCATCAAATGAACCCTAACCATCAAATCACCTTTGTCTCCCCAAACCTAACCATCCAATCTCCTTTGTCTCCCCAAGGCCAACCATCCAATCTCCTTTGTCTCCCCAAACCTAACTATCCAATCTCCTTTGTCTCCCCAAACCTAACCATCCAGTCTCCTTTGTCTCCCCAAGGCCAACCATCCAATCTCCTTTGTCTCCCCAAACCTAACCATCCAGTCTCCTTTGTCTCCCCAAGGCCAACCATCCAATCTCCTTTGTCTCCCCAAACCTAACTATCCAATCTCCTTTGTCTCCCCAAACCTAACCATCCAGTCTCCATTGTCTCCCCAAGGCCAACCATCCAATCTCCTTTGTCTCCCCAAACCTAACTATCCAATCTCCATTGTCTCCCCAAGGCCAACCATCCAATCTCCTTAGCCTCCCCAAACCTAACCATCAAGTCTCCTTTGTCTCCCCAAGGCCAACCATCCAATCTCCTTTGTCTCCCCAAACCTAACTATCCAATCTCCATTGTCTCCCCAAGGCCAAGCATCCAATCTCCTTAGTCACCCCAAACCTAACCATCCAATCACCTTTGTCTCCCCAAGGTGAACAATCCAATCTCCTTTGTCTTCCCATGGCCAACCATACAATCTCCTTAGTCTCCCCAAGGCCAAGCATCCAATCTCCTTTGTCTTCCCATGGCCAACCATCCAATCTCCTTAGTCTCCCCAAACCTAACCATCCAATCTCCATTGTCTCCCCAAACCTAACCATCCAATCTCCTTTGTCAACCAACAGGGACATGTTCAACCAAGCAAAACAAGTTAACAAAAAAATCTTTACATTGTTAAAATGTCTTTCCTGAACAAGCTTAGTATGGGCAAGGTAACACAGTACTTACAAGAGCAGTGAAGGCGATGGTTCCATTGTCTCCGGTGACGTTGTTGCTGCGGTACTGGTTGCCGCCACTAAGTGACAACAGCACTGTTGACAGCGCTTGTTTGGCTTCGTCCACAACCTAGGATCATTAATTCATGGTAAGCGACTCTCTGAACATGTGGAATTAGCAATTAAGATGTTCTTTAGGGCAAAGAATGATTGGATGCAAGCAGATCCAGGTATGAGTATCACAGGGTCGATATTATGCTGATTCCAGGATCAAAACCTGCAAGCAGGAATAGGAATCAACAACCAATTTTCAAGTCTCACCACCCTTATTTTGACTCCTCTTATGATCAATAAGTGTGCTGGACAAGGTTCTTACTTACGACTGTCGTACCTGCCTTGTTGCCATGAGAAAATTACTCACTGTGACCTGCACCTCTCCGAGTTTGAACGCCCTGAAGACGGCCTGCTGATCCTTCTCCTTGGTGAGCAGGTAACCGTTCTTCTCAGCAGACACATCATACAACACGTTGCTGTGCAGGGGGCCGACTCTGTAAAAGCGTTACCATGATTACAGTCTCATACCGGGTGAACAGTACTACAGACCCATTGAAGGGGAAACAGTTTCACAGCAGAGGGCAAAGTGTTATAGTAAGTGAGTGAGTGAGTTTAGTTTTATGTCACTAATAACAGCTTCATAGCAGATACGATAGTGTTACTATGGTTACAGTTTCATAGCAGATGCAGCAGTGTTACAAATATTCCAGCAACAAAGCAGTATTTCTAATACCAGCCCCGATGTAATCAGTGAAATAACTGCATCATGGATATACAAACAAAGCAAGCTATTATTCCAGTTACATGCGGTCAAGGATATAGGTGATTTCCATTTACAACATGACAGCATTCAGTTTCCTGGTGAAGCCACCAGTTGCTCACACATACTTGAATTTCCCGGACGCCTCGGTGTGGAGGGTGATGGCGTCAATGGAGCCGTCCTGGGCGGTGACGGTGATCTTCACTCCCTCCAGTGCAGGCTTCACCTGGCCAATGATAAAGACGCCCCTCTTGCCCTCGAACACGGCTACCTCACCTGGGCAGGAGTCTGGGAAACACGAGAGAAAATATAGTCACCAGTTTAGTGGGATGTGTTGATGCACTAACATCCATGTTTAGCGAGATGAGTGGCAGCACTAACATCCATGTTTAGTGGGATGTGTTGCAGCACTAAGTTTTATGTTCAATGGGATGTGTCACCACACAAAGATCCATGGTTAGTGGCATATGTTGCAGCACTAAGATCCATGATTAGTGGGATGTGTTGCAGCACTAAGATCCATGTCTAGTAATATGTGTTGCAACACTAAGATCCATGTTTAGTGGGATGTGTTGCAGCACAAAGATCCATGTTGAGTGGGATGTGTTGCAGCACTAAGATCCATGGTTAGTGGGATGTGTTGCAGCACTAATTTTAAGGTTCATGGGGATGTGTCACCACACTAAGATCCATGGTTAGTGGCATGTGTTGCAGCACTAAGATCCATGTTTAGTGGGATGTGTTGCAGCACAAAGATCCATGTTTAGTGGGATGTGTTGCAGCACTAAGATCCATGGTTAGTGGGATGTGTTGCAGCACTAAGATCCATGTCTAGTAATATGTGTTGCAACACTAAGATCCATGTCTAGTGGGATGTGTTGCAGCACTAAGATCCATGTTTAGTGGGATGTGTTGCAGCACTAAGATCCATGTTTAGTGGGATGTGTCACCACACTAAGATCCATGGTTAGTGGCATGTGTTGCAGCACTAAGATCCATGTTTAGTGGGATGTGTTGCAGCACAAAGATCCATGTTTAGTGGGATGTGTTGCAGCACTAAGATCCATGGTTAGTGGGATGTGTTGCAGCACTAAGATCCATGTCTAGTAATATGTGTTGCAACACTAAGATCCATGTCTAGTGGGATGTGTTGCAGCACTAAGATCCATGTTTAGTGGCATGTGTTGCAGCACTAAGATCCATGTCTAGTGGGATGTGTTGCAGCACTAAGATCCATGTTTAGTGGGATGTGTTGCAGCACTAAGATCCATGTTTAGTGGGATGTGTTGCAGCACTAAGATCCATGGTTTTAGTGGGATGTGTTGCAGCACTCCAAGATCCATGTTTAGTGGGATGTGTTGCAGCACTAAGATCCATGTTTAGTGGGATGTGTTGCAGCACTAAGATCCATGTTTAGTGGGATGTGTTGCAGCACTAAGATCCATGTTTAGTGGGATGTGTTGCAGCACTAAGATCCATGTTTAGTGGGATGTGTTGCAGCACTAAGATCCATGTTTAGTGGGATGTGTTGCAGCACTAAGATCCATGTTTAGTGGCATGTGTTGCAGCACTAAGATCCATGTTTAGTGGGATGTGTTGCAGCACTAAGATCCATGTTTAGTGGGATGTGTTGCAGCACTAAGATCCATGTTTAGTGGGATGTGTTGCAGCACTAAGATCCATGTTTAGTGGGATGTGTTGCAGCACTAAGATCCATGTTTATGTGTGGGATGTGTTGCAGCACTAAGATCCATGTTTAGTGGGATGTGTTGCAGCAGATCCATGGTTAGTGGGATTAAGATCCATGTTTAGTGGGATGTGTTGCAGCACTAAGATCCATGTTTAGTGGAATGTGTTGCAGCCCTCAGATCCATGTTTATTGGATGTGTTGCAGCACTAAGATCCATGTCTAGTGGGATGTGTTGCAGCACTAAGATACATGTTTAGTGGGATGTGTTGCAGCACTAAGATCCATGGTTAGTGGGATGTGTTGCAGCATTAAGATCCATGTTTAGTGGAATGTGTTGCAGCACTAAGATCCATGTTTAGGGGGATGTGTCACCACACTAAGATCCATGTTTAGTGGGATGTGTTGCAGCACTAAGATCCATGGTTAGTGGGATGTGTCACCACACTAAGATCCATGGTTAGTGGGATGTGTTGCAGCACTAAGATCCATGTTTAGTGGGATGTGTTGCAGCACTAAGATCCATGTTTAGTGGGATGTGATCCATGTTTAGTGGGATGTGTTGCAGCACTAAGATCCATGTTTAGTGGGATGTGTTGCAGCACTAAGATCCATGTTTAGTGGGATGTGTTGCAGCACTAAGATCCATGTTTAGTGGGATGTGTTGCAGCACTAAGATCCATGTTTAGTGGGATGTGTCACCACACTAAGATCCATGGTTAGTGGGATGTGTCACCACACTAAGATCCATGTTTAGTGGGATGTGTTGCAGTGGGATGTGTTGCAGCACTAAGATCCATGTTTAGTGGGATGTGTTGCAGCACTAAGATCCATGGTTAGTGGGATGTGTTGCAGCACTAAGATCCATGTTTAGTGGGATGTGTTGCAGCACTAAGATCCATGTTTAGTGGGATGTGTTGCAGCACTAAGATCCATGTTTAGTATGTGTTGCAGCACTAAGATCCATGATGGATGTGTTGCAGCACTAAGATCCATGTCTAGTGGGATGTGTTGCAGCACTAAGATCCATGTTTAGTGGGATGTGTTGCAGCACTAAGATCCATGGTTAGTGGGATGTGTTGCAGCACTAAGATCCATGTTTAGTGGAATGTGTTGCAGCACTAAGATCCATGTTTAGTGGGATGTGTTGCAGCACTAAGATCCATGGTTAGTGGGATGTGTTGCAGCACTAAGATCCATGTTTAGTGGGATGTGTTGCAGCACTAAGATCCATGTTTAGTGGGATGTGTTGCAGCACTAAGATCCATGGTTAGTGGGATGTGTTGCAGCACTAAGATCCATGTTTAGTGGGATGTGTTGCAGCACTAAGATCCATGTTTAGTGGGAGTGTGTGTTGCAGCACTAAGATCCATGTTTAGTGGGATGTGTTGCAGCACTAAGATCCATGGTTAGTGGGATGTGTTGCAGCACTAAGATCCATGTTTAGTGGGATGTGTTGGGATGTGTGTGCAGCACTAAGATCCATGGTTAGTGGCATGTGTTGGAGCTCTAACATCCATGTTTAGTGGGATGTGTTGCAGCACTAAGATCCATGTTTAGTGGGATGTGTTGCAGCACTAAGATCCATGTTTATTGGATGTGCTGCAGCACTAAGATCCATGTTTAGTGGCATGTGTTGCAGCACTAAGATCCATGTTTAGTGGCATGTGTTGCAGCACTAAGATCCATGTTTAGTGGGATGTGCTGCAGCACTAAGATCCATGGTTATTGGCATGTGTTGCAGCACTAAGATCCATGTTCAGTGGGATGTGTTGCAGCACTAAGATCCATGTTTAGTGGCATGTGTTGGAGCTCTAAGATCCATGTTCAGTGGGATGTGTTGCAGCACTAAGATCCATGTTTAGCGGGATGTGTTGCAGCACTAAGATCCATGTTTATTGGATGTGTTGCAGCACTAAGATCCATAGTTAGTGGGATGTGTTGCAGCACTAAGATCCATGTTTAGGGGGATGAGTTGTAGGTACCTCCAATGATGGTTGTGTCGACAGCAGGAGGGTAGAACAGCAGCTCAGCAGATTTCACTGTGTACATCAGCTTTTCTCCAGTCCTGCAACAAAAGTATTGATGTTTACTGCAGTTTCTCAACGTATGACAAGCAAGTTGGTGAAACTGCATTCCTATATTTTTAAGTTGGATGTAAAATTCACAAAAGCATTTTGCGCTGTTTCGAAATATAAACAGAGAACCACATGTAATTTCCTAATGCTATCTACAAAAACATCCTTAAAAGTAAGGTAATACAAGTGACAGTAATTATTTTTTTCAGATGATAGATCGTTTGTAATGAACCAATTCCTGGCAATAATCCTTACTTGGCCCAGTGGGAGAACTTGTACACAAACGGTCCTTTAGCTGGCTGCTTGTTGTCCTTGGTAGCTTCTGGCTTGAGAGGACCAAGGACGGTGGGGGTATCCGACACAGACGACCTGAGGACAAATATCAGCATCTGTTTCTGGGGATTTTCATCAACAAGACAAAAGACAGCAAATAAATCTGCTGACATACAAAAGACAGCTGATGGTAATCAATACATAACAGTAAATCAAAGACAGATTTGAAAAATCTTCCATGATTTTGTTTGTTTGTTCGTTTGTTTTACAGAGCACTCAGTATTATTCCTGAATTAACATAGCAGTCTGTAAGTGAGCTGAAATGGGTTTATCGTCGTACTAAGAATATTTTGCTCATATGACGACGTGCATGCGTGTGTAGCTGTGGCTGCTTGTACTAGCCCAGATTTAAGCTGGTTTTATAGTGCTAGCCCGCTGAGATACCATGCCGCAGTGAAGCATGAATACCCCACTCAGACACATTATACTGACTCCGTGCCGACCAGTCCTTGTTGTACCCATTAATGCCGAGCACCAGGCAGGGACCAACAAGTACCATATATTACGTCTTTTGGTATGATGTGGCTGGGGAAAGAACCCGCGACTTTCCCCTTTCCATAGCAGCGTGTAAACAATTGACCAGACAATCTGGTGACTGGCATCATCCCCACTCATGTAAATTGGCATTTGACAAATGCAACCAGGTCACCCAATCCATTCAGTCGCCAATTATGACAGGCATAAGTTGCTGGGTACCTATATTCCCACCCACAATCCCGCAGGTAAAGTGGCATCAAATATTGATACATAAGAGCAGTTGAACACCAAGATTTCGGGCAAGACGAGCAAGCTGATTTTGTTAATGCAACTCTGAATTATAGTCCGCTTGCAGCAAAATCGTACCAATAAAATGGCAAATAGACAAGAAAGTTAGTCATTTTAATGTCTGTTGTAACAAAGGGGTAGGCACGATAGACTATTAAAACACCAACATTTACATGATCGTTCCACTGACATGAGATATACGTACGTGATGACAACTTTGATGTCGTCCACTTTATCTTTTTGTGGTGATTGAGCCGAAGGTGAGATGCTGCACAGCCATCAATGTCACCATCAGCGGGTTCCACCTGTTGAACACAATAAACAACCATTACATGCTGAACATGCCACATCAGTCTTTCTTCGAAATATAATGCTAAAAAAAATACAGGAATAAGAATGTATGATGAAGTGATTTATCTTGAGTCCCAAACTACATCCTCAAGGCAGGCAAGTTTGGAGTGAGTGAGTGAGTTTAGTTTTACGCCGCGCTAGGCAATATTCCAGTTATATGGCGGCAGTCTGTAAATAATCGAGTCTGGACCAGACAATCCAGTGATCAACAGCATGAGCATCGATCTGGGCAATTGGGAACCGATGACATCTGTCAACCAAGTCAGCGAGCCTGACCACCCAATCCCGTTAGTCGCCTCTTACGACAAGCATGGGTCACTGAAGATCAATATTCTAACCCGGACCTTCATGGGTCAAACAGTTTAGATGAATCTTTACAGTAAACTACATGTATAACAATTAAGTTTGTTATACTGTTAACCCTGTTAGTCCATAACCATGTTTGGCCGTAACATTGTTTGTCTGGAACCCTGTTTATGCAGAACACTATCAAACCAAAACCCTGATTGTCCAGAACCTGGTTTGTGCACAACCTTGTTTGTGTGGTACCCTGTTTTTCCAGAACCCTGTTTATCCAAAACCCTGTTTGTCTAGTTGTTTGTGCACAACTTTGTTTATGCAGAACCCTGTTGGTCCAGGACCCTGTCTGTGCAAAAAACCTTTCCAGAGCTTGACTGTTAGAATTGGTTTGTTGTTTAACGCTGCACTCAGCAATATTCCAGCTATATGGCGGCGGTCTGAAAATAATCGAGTCTGGACCAGACATCCAGTGATCAACAGCATGAGCATCAATCTATGCAATTGGGATACAATGACATGTGTCAACCAAGTCAGTGAGCCTGACCACCCGATCCTGTCAGTCGCCTCTTACGACAAGCGTGGGTTGCTGATGACCAATTTTTACCCGGATCTTCATGGGTTCTACTGTCACAAAGGAACCTCCCCAAAATGAAGATGCATTAGGAATACAAGTTCACTAGTTGATTGGACAACAAGATACTACTCACGTGTCATATGTGTAGACATCTTTCTCAAACTTGTGACAGGAATCTGGAGTGAGCCGGTACACACCAGGTTGAGCCAGACAGAACCGGTTGGTGCCCTTGTTCAACTGGAAGGATCCAACACTCCCAGACTTCTTCTCATGAGCAAAATTCTGAAACATCATGGAAGGGAATGTTAAAGGATGTCATTCAAAGTCAAGATTCAAAACTGCTGAACATGTGTTTCAAAGGCAACAACCATTCACCTAATTGACTCCAGAGCAGGTGAACAATGACAACATCACAACAGCCCATAAACAGTTTATAACAGGCAAACAAGAGGAGTGAGTGAGTTTAATTTTACACCGCACTCAGCAATATTCCAGCTATATGGCAACGGACTGTAAATAAACAAGTCTGGACCAGACAATCCAGTGATCAACAGCATGAGCATCGATCTGTACAATTGTGAACCGATTACATGTGTCAACCAAATCAGCGAGCCTGACCACCCGATCCTGTTAGTCGCCTCTTATGACAAGCATGGGTTACTGAAGATCAATATTCTAACCCGGACCTTCACGAGGTGCCTCTAATGCCAAGCATAGGTTACTGAAGATCAATATTCTAACCCGGACCTTCACGAGGAGCCTCTAATGACAAGCATGGGTTACTGGAGATCAATATTCTAACTTCCGAAGATCTCTTCAGAGCCTCTAATGACAAGCATAGGTTACTGAAGATCAATATTCTAACCCCGGACCTTCACGAGGTCTCTAATGACAAGCATAGGTTACTGAAGATCAATATTCTAACCCGGACCTTCACGAGGTGCCTCTAATGACAAGCATGGGTTACTGAAGATCAATATTCTAACCCGGACCTTCACGAGGCGCCTCTAATGACAAGCATGGGTTACTGAAGATCAATATTCTAACCCAGACCTTCACGAGGCGCCTCTAATGACAAGCATGGGTTACTGAAGATCAATATTCTAACCAAGACCTTCACGAGGCGCCTCTAATGACAAGCATAGGTTACTGAAGATCAATATTCTAACCCAGACCTTCACGAGGCACCTCTAATGACAAGCATGAGTTACTGAAGATCAATATTCTAACCCGGACCTTCACGAGGTGCCTCTAATGACAAGCATGGGTTACTGAAGATCAATATTCTAACCCAGACCTTCACGAGGCGCCTCTAATGACAAGCATGGGTTACTGAAGATCAATATTCTAACCCGGACCTTCACGAGGTGCCTCTAATGACAAGCATGGGTTACTGAAGATCAATATTCTAACCCAGACCTTCACGAGGTGCCTCTAATGACAAGCATGGGTTACTGAAGATCAATATTCTAACCCGGACCTTCACGAGGCGCCTCTAATGACAAGCATGGGTTACTGAAGATCAATATTCTAACCCGGACCTTCACGAGGTGCCTCTAATGACAAGCATGGGTTACTGAAGATCAATATTCTAACCCAGACCTTCACGAGGTGCCTCTAATGACAAGCATGAGTTACTGAAGATCAATATTCTAACCCGGACCTTCACGAGGCGCCTCTAATGACAAGCATAGGTTACTGAAGATCAATATTCTAACCCGGACCTTCACGAGGTGCCTCTAATGACAAGCATGGGTTACTGAAGATCAATATTCTAACCCGGACCTTCACGAGGTGCCTCTAATGACAAGCATGGGTTACTGAAGATCAATATTCTAACCCAGACCTTCACGAGGTGCCTCTAATGACAAGCATGAGTTACTGAAGATCAATATTCTAACCCGGACCTTCACGAGGCGCCTCTAATGACAAGCATGGGTTACTGAAGATCAATATTCTAACCGGACCTTCACACGAGCCTCTAATGACAAGCATGGGTTACTGAAGATCAATATTCTAACCCGGACCTTCACGAGGTGCCTCTAATGACAAGCATGAGTTACTGAAGATCAATATTCTAACCAGACCTTCACGAGGCCTCTAATGACAAGCATAGGTTACTGAAGATCAATATTCTAACCCGGACCTTCACGAGGGCCTCTAATGACAAGCATGAGTTACTGAAGATCAATATTCTAACCGGACCTTCACGAGGGCTTCTAATGACAAGCATGGGTTACTGAAGATCAATATTCTAACCCAGACCTTCACGAGGTGCCTCTAATGACAAGCATGGGTTACTGAAGATCAATATTCTAACCCGGACCTTCACGAGGCTTTAATGACAAGCATAGGTTACTGAAGATCAATATTCTAACCCCGACCTTCACGAGGTGCCTCTAATGACAAGCATGAGTTACTGAAGATCAATATTCTAACCCAGACCTTCACGAGGTGCCTCTAATGACAAGCATAGGTTACTGAAGATCAATATTCTAACCCGGACCTTCACGAGGCACCTCTAATGACAAGCATGAGTTACTGAAGATCAATATTCTAACCTCGACCTTCACGAGGTTTCTAATGACAAGCATGGGTTACTGAAGATCAATATTCTAACCCAGACCTTCACGAGGCTTCTAATGACAAGCATGGGTTACTGAAGATCAATATTCTAACCGGACCTTCACGAGGTGCCTCTAATGACAAGCATGGGTTACTGAAGATCAATATTCTAACCCAGACCTTCACGAGGCGCCTCTAATGACAAGCATGGGTTACTGAAGATCAATATTCTAACCCGGACCTTCACGAGGCGCCTCTAATGACAAGCATGGGTTACTGAAGATCAATATTCTAACCCGGACCTTCATGAGGTGCCTCTAATGACAAGCATGGGTTACTGAAGATCAATATTCTAACCCAGACCTTCACGAGGCGTCTCTAATGACAAGCATGAGTTACTGAAGACTTTGAATCGGCTGTAACAGGTGTTTTGCTGAGTCAGCAGCGCTATTGTCCTGCAACAGTCCAGCGGTACTCACCAGTGTTATTTCATGTGAGATGCTGCACTTGAGGATGTATCCGGTCTGGACGAAGTCCACTCCAGTCAGATCCTGGTCCACCACCTCGATCTCCAGTGTCTTGTCCTTCCAGCACCAACTGTCCTGGAGCATTGTTACTGGACAGCACAAGAAACAGATGTCACTGTCAAACAGCTCATCATGCTGACATACAGCTGCCTTGTCAAAAGCAGAGGTGGAGGTGTGCATAGAACTCAGGCCACAAATCTGTTGAAGTTAAGCATGCTCAGCGCGTAGAGTCCTTGGAAGGCCGCCTGAGAGTGTCTAGGACTTCAGTCCTGCCCCACAACGAAGCACATGTGATACATGTGGTCTCACCTTCGGCAAGGGAGTTTGTTCAAATTGCCTCTGTTCACCCAGCAGAAAATGGGTACCCGGTGGGATAAGTCATGTGACTATTACCTTCTAGCGCCTCACAGGCAGCTTGGGTTATCCGGGGTATTAATTACAGCGCTTCTCAGCAGTGCTACATTGGAAATAAGCGCTATACAAATGAATAACATTACAAAAGGGCAGGATGAATGTTCACAGTTGCACATTCCATTTGATGCCAACTTAAACACAAGGTCCTCAGTTAACCACTTACCTTTGTATTTTCCAGGTAAAACATTTTCAAAAGAGAATGTGTTTCCTTTAGCAGATTCTTGAACCTGTAAATACAATGACAAATACTGCAAAATGTGATAAGAGCAACAGAAAAACAACAATGCAATGAACACAATCTGTTCTCTCATATAACAATAATTATCCAACACCTGCATTTACTATGACAACCATTATTATCATCAGTAGTTATAGAAGTAGTAGTAATCTTAAATCATTTTAATTGTGTTATAAAATGTTCTTCTATCATTACAATCATCATCACAATCATCACAATCATCATCATCACAATCATCATCATCACAATCATCACAATCATCATCACAATCATCATCACAATCATCATCATCACAATCATCATCATTACAATCATCATCACAATCATCATCACAATCATCATCATCATCATCATCATCATCATCATCATCATCATCATCATCATCATCATCATCATCATCACCATCATTACAATCATCATCACAATCATCATCACAATCATCATCACAATTATCATCACAATCATCATCATCAATCATCATCATAATCATCATCATTCAATCATCATCATCACAATCATCATCATCACAATCATCATCACAATCATCATCACAATCATCATCACAATCATCATCACAATCATCATCATCACAATCATCATCTTCACCATCATCATCACAATCATCATCACAATCATCATCATCACAATCATCATCACACAATCATCACAATCATCATCACAATCATCATCATCACAATCATCATCATCTCATCATCACAATCATCATCACAATCATCATCACAATCATCATTACAATCATCATCACAATCATCATCACAATCATCATCACAATCATCATCACAATCATCATCATCACAATCATCATCTTCACCATCATCATCACAATCATCATCACAATCATCATCATCACAATCATCATCACACAATCATCACAATCATCATCACAATCATCATCATCACAATCATCATCATCTCATCATCACAATCATCATCACAATCATCATCATCACAATCATCACAATCATCATCACAATCATCATCACAATCATCATCACAATCATCATCACACAATCATCACAATCATCATCACAATCATCATCACAATCATCATCATCTCATCATCATCACAATCATCATCACAATCATCATCATCTCATCATCATCACACTCATCATCACACTCATCATCATCATCATCATCATCATCATCATCATCATGTCTCACCTGTACCACCTGCTTGGAGTCCGACCGAGTGAGTGAGTCAAGGGACATGTCAATGTGACCACACTTCTCTGCAACACACAGAGAAACACGTTATGACCAATACAATACTCTTTATTCCGACATATTAAAATGTGTGTTGCTCAAGTTAAATTGAAGTCCAAACATAACACATTCATTTCTAGAAGTAAAACCTTGTAAACCAACAACTGAAAAGTAATAGAATGCCATGTAACATTTTGATGGTTTGGACACAAAGGCGGTTATCTCCCTTAATATGAAAGTGATTATCTCCCCTGATATGAAAATGATCATTGCTCCCGATAGTGGTTATCTCCCCCCGATATGAAAGTGGTTATCTCACCTGATACAAAAATGGTTATCTCCCCTGATATGAAAGTGGTTATCTCCCATGATAGTGGTTATCTCCCCTGACTGTCTTCACTCACCCATACATGTGACAGCTCCATGCACCTTGGCTCGGAACTGAGAGAAGCGGACATCCAACACAGGCTTGCTCTTGATGATGACTGTGCGTTCTGCTGGCGCCAGGGTCAGACCTGCCTTCACTTCCTGCTCACTCAGATGAATCTGTGCCCAAAGGAAATAATCATGACTTCGTGTTCAAGATTACAGCAACTAGCAAGCAGGCAAGTCTGTACTGACATCTGTTTTAAAGTGGTAGACCAGTGAGAAACAATGCAGCAGTTATCAACCAGTCGTTTTTCACCCCCATAACACCCATTGCCAGGCAGGGTAACAAAAAGTACCGTAATATCTTTATCCCCATAACAGACTATTTGTTCACTGTACGTAATGCCTTGGAAGTTGAAGACGAGAATCATGTCTTTTTTTAATTTAAATATTACGAATGTTGGTGTGAAAAATATTTGGTACAACCTCGAAAAGTGTATAGAGTAATAGAGGTCGGTTAACCTTAGAATCTATTTTCAAATCAAGCAACAGTCAAGTAATATATATTACTACTTTTTTCTGCATAATGTATTCCTAACAAGACCTGGATCCAGTTGACCACAGTACATCGATTTATATAACTGTATAACTGTATTATAGGACACTAGGCCGATATTACACAAATATACTGTCTGTCTGTCTGTCTGGTACGGTTGAACTACTAACTTTCTGCTGCCCATAGTATCAATGGACCACAGAAACAGACTGGGGATCGAACCACCCAATTTCAGCTCTTTAGGTCAACACTCCATCCACTTGACCATGGAGGCAGTAAGATCAGTGGACAGGGCATGACATGGGGTTCAGATTTCTCGTGAACATTTTTGGAAATACTTCCCAGGTTTACATTGAAGTGGTACGAAAATATCTGTGACACACAAAATTCTGTAACAACATAATTATCCATGGTAAAAACTTTTACAAACCTGGAGAGGTTATGAATTATTTGAAGAAAAGTCCTCCTTGGGGTACATATAAGCATTAAAATGTCCATTTTAAAAGCCTACGACAGTTGTAACAATATTTCAATAAAATATTTTACCAAACAAAAAACTCGTTATGTGTGGTGAGACCACCCCTACAGGGCCCCGTAGAGGGCCCCCTACAGCCAAGAGCAGGTAACTCTGGCTGTGTACCTCGTACCTCACTTTTCATGCTGAACGTGTCAGACAGAATGAGGGGAGGTGGGCACAGTATTTCAGGAGGACTTTTCTTCAAAGAATTCATAACCTCTCCAGGTTTGTAAAATTCTTTTCAGAAGAAGTCCTCCTTGGGGTACATATAAGCATAAGACAGACTCCCAACGATGTTGAGTCGGGAGCGGTATTCTGTCTGCCTAACATACCCCCTAGTTCAGTCGAAGGCACAGCCGAAGCCGTGACAGAGAGAGAAAGTACACTCACCTAGTCACCTGACCGCTGATGTCAATCAGGCGGGGGCGTGGCAAGGCGGGGGAAAAGGAGCCTAGCCGATAGGCTATTGGTGGAATTTATAAAGGCGGACGCAAGTCCCACCCCCAGACCATCAAAATGGGAGGGAAAAAGAATGGGCGAGTCCAATATATATCCCTCAGCAACCCAAACCAGCGAAGCATGGTGCAGGGATGAACACAGTGACTGTAGCGAGTGATAATCGCTACATACGGTAAAAACCACCACCAATGTGATACCACCACCGATAAAAATTGAGGAATTTATTAACACCTACACCATGAGAAAAGCAAACGTGATTTCTAAGGCTCATTCGCCAGAGAATCACGACACTGCCCACTGGTGAGAACTGTCTGGCCAAAAACCGAGCACGCCCCGCTCCGGAGTGTTTGTCCAGCTGATAGTGGCGGATGAACGCATTCGGTCCGCCATCCAGATAGCCGCTGAGCAGATCTCCTCAATGGGCAGTGCCCAAGGTATGCTTTGATGTCGCCACTGCCCTAATCGAATGAGCCTTTAAACCCTGAGGGATGGTTAATCCTTTGTAAGAGTAACTCGAACAAATGGCAGAGACAAGCCACCTAGATATGGTCTGCTTGTTCGCCGGAAGACCAGCCTTGCCACCGCCATAACAACAGAACAGCTGCTTATCTTTCCTGATAGCAGCCGTTCGTTTGATATAAGCCTTGAGAGTCTTACGGACATCTAAGACGTGAGCACCAAGAGAGGTACCGGACGATGGAGGCTGAGTGAAAGCTGGCAGTTCGATAGGCGCCGTTATATGAAAGGCTTCGACCTTAGGACGGTAGGAGTCTGGCAACCGAATACTGACTCTGTCTTTGTGAAAGACAGTCAGAGCAGGATCCGCTGACATCGCATGGATATCACCTACCCGCCTGCCAGACGTTACCGCCACAAGAAAGGCAGCCTTCCAACTTAACAGCTGGAGTGAAAGAGACGACAGATCGCGTGAAAGAGAGGACCGACATCCAATCAAGAACGATTGACAAGTCCCACGGGGACTAATCCGCCCGGACAGTCGGACGGATTCTGTCCACGCCTGCTAAAAAAAGCTGTATTGAGAGGGTGCTGCCCCAAGAGAGCACCGTCGGCAGGGATATGGAAGGCAGAGATTGCCGTGGAGTAGCCCCGATAGTAGACGCGCTAAACCGCTTCTAACCTAGACTGCAAGAACTCCAGTACTTCAATTACAGTTGAAGAAAAGGGATCAAGAATCCCTCTGCCGACACACCAGCGCAAGCATAACAGGCCCATCTATCCTCATACTGAACGCTTGTCGAATCCTCCGCTGAAGCCAGAATTGTGTCTGCAACTGGTGCAGGAATTCCGCCGCGAGAGGCGGCGATTCCGGACAGAGAGGCCAGGCCACCCACTGAATCCTGGGATTCGGGTGCGCGCTCCGCTCTGGGATAGTAAGTCCGGTCGAAAGGGTAATAGTACAGGAGGCTGAGCCAGAAACCTGAGTAGTACCGGAAACCAGCTTTGAGCCGACCAAAGGGGTGCAAGAAGTCGAGCTGGTTGGGTGGCAAGCTGCAAGAGGACTTTGGGAATCAGGGGTAGTGGCGGGAACGCCTACAGAACCCTGTCCGCCCAATCGAGCTGGAAAGCGTCTTGGGCGATGGCTCTCGGATCCGTATCCGAGCAAAACACCGGAATCTGGTTCGCCCCCAGATGCAAACAGATCCACCTGGAACGACCAACAACTGGGAGATAGCCCCGAATATCCCCGATGGAGCATCCACTGCGTGTGGGGCCAGGATAATGACACGAGAGAGTGCATCTGCTCGAACGTTGTCCGCCCCCAGGGAGATAAACAGGCATTACCCAGATGTCGAACTGGTCGCACCAGAGCAGAAACTGCCATGCCTCCTGCAGAAGAGACGGGAAACCGCATCGCCCTGCTTCAGGATGTAGGTCATTGCTGTCTGGTTGTCCATCTCGAGACGGACCACACGCCTTGAACCTGCCCCAAGTCGCTTGAACACCAACCTGACTGCTCTCAATTCTAGCACATTGATGTGCAGTTGCGCTCGCTCTGTGACCACAGGCCTGAGACCGACAGGGGCCCAGCACGCCCCACCCTGTGAGGGAAGCGTCCGTCTGAATTGAGAGATCTGGCGATGGGATGTCCAAAGGGAGCCCCTTGGATAAATTCCCTGCCAGTGTCCACCACCGTAAATGAGGAATTAGCCACCCTGGAGTGTGGAGAATCAACTCGTAACCCTGGGTGTGGACCCACATTCGAAGCTAGAGCCTGCTGAATGGGTCGCATCCTCAACCGCCGCCAAACGATGTCCACCGTTGCCGCCATGTTGCCTAGCAACTGGAGCCAAGTCCGAGCTGAGGCCCTGGGGAACTCGAGAAATTGTAACACAACTCTCTGGACTTTGGTGACGCGGTCCGGAGACAGGGAGACTATCCCTCGCGCTGTCTCGGAATCTCGCCCAAGAACACCAGATCCTGGGTGGGAACCAGTTCTGATTTCTTGAGGTTGATAATCCAGCCCAACTTGGTGAGAATACTCATCACAGCAAGTGTCGCAACTCTCGACTCAAGTGAGTGGCAAGCGCATCGAAGGAGCCAATCATCTAGGTACGGGTGACAGCACCTGCCCTGTGACCTGGCTACCTGAGCTGGAATTAGCATGAGTTTGGTGAACACCCTTGGCGCTGTGGAAATGCCGAAGGGGAGTACCCGAAACTGATAGCACCTCCCGTCGAAGGAAAACCTTAGGTATTTCCGGAACTCGGGGTGCATAGGGACATGGAAGTACGCGTCTTTGAGGTCGATTGACGTGAGCCAATCTCCCTTCTCCACAGACGAAATCACCGAACGCAGTGTTTCCATCTTGAAGGGAGCAAAAGCCTCCCCTGGGAGGCGAAACTCCTGAGGGTCGGGTGCGCCAGTACTGACCACTACCTGGGGCAGGACAGAAGCCTTGTGTCCCCCACGCCCCTGCACTCCGCCTGCCAGGGACGCTACCGAGCTTAAAACCAAAGCAGCGTACCCAACTCCTCCCGACCCTCATCCTCCTCCATAGCCTCCTCGAATCGATCCTCAATGAGTGAGGTCTCTGTATCCAGAGAGAGCTCTGAGGGATCATCCGAGGGGTCTACAGAGAGGGACAAAGGCTCGAGCAGTGCCGGGTTGCCCGGCACACCTGACCCAAGACTCGACACTGAGTCGCTGGTGGCGCGGACGAGGGAAGAGCCCGTGCTGGGATTCCTCAATGGTAGACAAAATGATCCAGACACCGAATGGCCCTCGCCAAGCCGGCGCAAGCTGTGGGACCACCATGGCAGCGGCAACTACAGGCACTGAGCCTGCCAAACTACTAACTACTGGATTGACCAGACCCGAGCCAAGGCTCGGGCCGGTAGTAGTTACTACAGCGGAGGGGTGGCCAGCAACCGAGACGAAACTCGAGCCGACGCACCCGACAGCAACCCCCACACCAGAGCCTAAGCTGAGGTTGGGAGCACTGCCCGCCATAGACCCGCACACACCCGCATTCTGGCCGGACACCACCTCCTGACGGAGGCCAGCCATCAGCGCCAGCCACAGAGTGTGGACCGAATCCATCTGCTTCTGCAATATATCAGAAAGTAAATCAATTGTTAGCTGGTTAGAAACAGGGACAGGAGGGGGAAGGTGCCTGTGATGTTGAGGGGATGGCAGGTGAAAGAGCCGGAGGCCCCGCGACCCTTCGCCCGCTTAGGAGCATCCCCAAAAGAGAGGAAGCCAAGCCTTTTTCTTTGCTTTTTATCTTTGTCTTTAGGAGGCTCCTGACCCCTGTAAATGTCCCCCCGCCTGGAAGTAAGGGACGTAGAACATGTAATCAGCACGCCTGGACTTGATGAAAGCGGGGAGAAAGCCTGACACATAGAACAACCTTGTTCGTCATGGGCTTCCTCCGCTAAACAACGAAGCAAACCAGGTGGCGATCCTGAGGCGACAAACTGCCGCTACAGGTGAAACACCCCTTGGGCTGCAAAAACAGAACCACGCTATGACAATAGCAAGGACTGTACGATATACATAATATAATATGCACGCAACAAAACAGAACAAAATACAACGCCCGGGCGATATTTTTTAACTGTTACAGCAAAGCTATTAAATACTAGCGCAAAGCCATAATAGCTGGGCCGCAATTCGCGCATATAGGTGACAAAGAGCAACATGTGTGAGCCGACACGTGAAACGCCGGCCATTTAAAACACTTCAAGCAAAACTTACCTAAAGCCTGGAAAAGAGGAATTTAGGCAAGTATAATCTACAAAATGAAATATCAGCCCCTTTACGAATTCGACTACAAGGCTTTTCTAAAGCCAGGAGAAGGAAAGCAAACGGACCCCCGCGGTCCGCCATCTTGCCTGCCACGTGGCTGGAGACAGCTTAACACGCCGTAAAGTTACAACAAATCATGAATGAAAAAGTCATACAACGATTCCAGCTAGCTCCGAGCTTAAAAAAGGAACCATACATACAGGATTTGACTCTATCTCACTCCATCGCTTCTTATTCAGTAGCTTCTTGGACCATGCAATCGACCTACACGGCCGACGACAGCATGAAAAGTGAGGTACGAGGTACACAGCCAGAGTTACCTGCTCTTGGCTGTAGGGGGCCCTCTACGGGGCCCTGTAGGGGTGGTCTCACCACACATAACGAGTTTTTTGTTTGGTAAAATATTTTATTGAAATATTGTTACAACTGTCGTAGGCTTTTAAAATGGACATTTTAATGCTTATATGTACCCCAAGGAGGACTTCTTCTGAAAAAGAATGTGTGCATCTGTCCAATAATTTCCCCAAGTAACAGCAAATCACATCTTACTTACTTTGACAACGTATTTGCCCGACTTGACTCGGGCACAGAACTTCCCGCTAGCGTCTGTGGTGATGGACACAGCGTCTGACCCCCGACCTTCAGGGTAATAGATGACCTTTCTCTGCACAGGGACCTGGTTGAGCCCCTCGGGGACACGATCGATGACCACCTCACCACACATGCTGAACCTGGACAAACAGGACAGATATGATAGCATATGACCAGCTCTGAGTGAACCACACAATCCAGTGATCAATGATGTATCAGACACAGGGACCTGGTTGAGCCCCTCGGGGACACGATCGATGACCACCTCACCACACATGCTGAACCTGGACAAACAGGACAGATATGATAGCATATGACCAGCTCTGAGTGAACCACACAATCCAGTGATCAATGATGTATCAGACACAGGGACCTGGTTGAGCCCCTCGGGACACGATCGATGACCACCTCACCACACATGCTGAACCTGGACAAACAGGACAGAGATGATAGCATATGACCAGCTTTGAGTGAACCACACAATCCAGTGATCAATGATGTATCAGACACAGGGACCTGGTTGAGCCCCTCAGGGACACGATCGATGACCACCTCACCACACATGCTGAACCTGGACAAACAGGACAGATATGATAGCATATGACCAGCTCTGAGTGAACCACACAATCCAGTGATCAATGATGTATCAGACACAGGGACCTGGTTGAGCCCCCTCGGGACACGATCGATGACCACCTCACCACACATGCTGAACCTGGACAAACAGGACAGAGATGATAGCATATGACCAGCTTTGAGTGAACCACACAATCCAGTGATCAATGATGTATCAGACACAGGGACCTGGTTGAGCCCCTCAGGGACACGATCGATGACCACCTCACCACACATGCTGAACCTGGACAAACAGGACAGATATGATAGCATATGACCAGCTCTGAGTGAACCACACAATCCAGTGATCAATGATGTATCAGACACAGGACCTGGTTGAGCCCCTCGGGGACACGATCGATGACCACCTCACCACACATGCTGAACCTGGACAAACAGGACAGATATGATAGCATATGACCAGCTCTGAGTGAACCACACAATCCAGTGATCAATGATGTATCAGACACAGGGACCTGGTTGAGCCCCTCGGGGACACGATCGATGACCACCTCACCACACATGCTGAACCTGGACAAACAGGACAGAGATGATAGCATATGACCAGCTTTGAGTGAACCACACAATCCAGTGATCAATGATGTATCAGACACAGGGACCTGGTTGAGCCCCCTCAGGGACACGATCGATGACCACCTCACCACACATGCTGAACCTGGACAAACAGGACAGAGATGATAGCATATGACCAGCTTTGAGTGAACCACACAATCCAGTGATCAATGATGTATCAGACACAGGGACCTGGTTGAGCCCCTCAGGGACACGATCGATGACCACCTCACCACACATGCTGAACCTGGACAAACAGGACAGAGATGATAGCATATGACCAGCTCTGAGTGAACCACACAATCCAGTGATCAATGATGTATCAGACACAGGGACCTGGTTGGACTTACCCCGAGGCCACGATGTCCGGCAGTTGTGGAGTATTGGGAGTGATCTTCACACTCAGCTCGTCAAAGAAGATATGGTCAGACTCCACATTGATAGTGTACGTGCCGGTCTTCATGTTGTCCAGGTGATACAAGCCATCAGAGGCGGTCGTCGTCTGCACTTTGCCGTCCAAGGTCACCTGGGCCTTTCCAATACCCACACCCTGGAACAAACACATCACTGCTTTGACAAAAATCTTTTATCTCAAACAAAGCTTTGAATTGGTTGGGTTGCTGTTTAACGCCACACTCAGCAATATTCCAGCTATATGGCAGCGGTCTGTAAATAATCGAGTCTGGGCCAGACAATCCAGTGATCAACAGCATAAGCATCGATCAACGCAATTGGGATGCGATAACTTGTGTCAGCCTGACCACCCGATACCGTTAGATGCCTCTTACGACAAGCATGGGTTGCCCAGATCTTCACAGGTACAAAGCTTTGGAATAAAAATAAGGAAACAGAGGACAAAATAAAAATTCTTCAACAAGTGTGCATGTGACTCCCTACCTTTGGTGCATCCAGCACTCGTCCAGACACTGAGAAGCCTGCCACTTGGAATCCCTTCTGTAACACAAACATCAGATGGAGTGAGACAATGTAGTTTTATGCCAGTGTGGGTGAGTGAGTGAGTTTAGTTTTACGCCGCACTCAGCAATATTCCAGTTATATGGAGGCGGTCTGTAAATAATCCAGTCTGGACCAGACAATCCAGTGATCAACAGCATGAGCATCGATCTGCGCAATTGGGAACCGATGACATGTGTCAACCAAGTCAGCGAGTCTGACCACCCGATCCCGTTAGTCGCCTCTTACGACAAGCATGGGTTACTGAAGGTTCATTAACCCAGACCTTCACGGATGGAATCCTGATGGGGATTTTTTGCAGGAACCTGATAATTGAAAAAGCATACAGATTTCTAGCCCCCACCAAGCCTGCATCAATAATGACAACAGCTTATTTGCATCTCACCTCAAGTTTGACGGACTGATGGTTGACGACAAACTCCAGTTTGGATGGCACAACGTCAAATGTGATGTGCTCGCCTTTATAGAAGGGCACCTGGCAACAAGAGGCATGTATACAGTGTCATGTGTAACACATTTGCACTAGGAACTATCACAAGGATTTAGGACGTCACCATTCACAAATAGTGAATGAGTTTAGTTTTATAATGCTTTTACTAGTTTTAGCAGTATTCCAGCAATATCATGGCTGGGGACACCAGAAATGGGCTTCACACATTGTGCCCATTTGGGGAATCGAACCCGGGTCTTAGGTGTGAGGAAGTGAGTGAGTGAGTTTAGTTTATGCCGCACTCAGCAATATTCTAGCCATATGGCAGGGGTCTGTAAATAATCGAGTCTGGACCAGACAATCCAGTGACCAATATCAATGAGCATCAATGTACTCAATTGGGATACGATGACATATGTCAACCAAGTGAGCTAGCATGACCACCTGATCCCATTAGTCGCCTCTTACGACAAGCATGGGTTACTGAAGATCAATTCTAACCCGGACCTTCACGGATGACTAGGCTACCCCAACACCCCCAATTCACCAATACATTGATTACTGTCACTCGTTACTGAGTGTAATTACACAGTGATTCTAGAGCACTACAATCTGCTGTAAATCAGCTGATCGTAACTGACAGTGACACCAAAGGATTGACTTGCATCTGTACAGCAGTTAACTAAAGAGAATTTCAAATTTAACTAAATTTGTCTTGGCATTGAATCACACAGGTATAAAAGATTCTGAGATTATTCTGACATTCCATGATGAAAGAAAGAATCATCAGGCATGACAGACACAGGGGTGAAAATAACTTTAAAATTGCTAGTGTACTCCGGTACAGTGGCACATGTAAAATCACTTGCCCTGATCATTTTTCCTCTATACCGGCTGTTTTCTTGTTGATTTTTTAAATAAACAACATTATTAACATTGGAAAGTCAACTGGACACCAGTACAGTGTGATATACAAATTTGCTTGCCCGACAGAAAAAAACACTGGACTCGGACGTCGGGCAATGGGTTATTTCCACCCCTGAGACAGTATGAACAGGTTGACTCACAATGGTGTATTTGCCAGTAGGCAGGGACGGGAAGCTGAAGACGCCATTTGCCTCTGATATCACGTGACACAGCGGCGTCCCCATCGCTGATGTGAAGCCCTTGACCGGCTTGGTCTCACAGCCTGATATGTCCTACAATGAAACAAAACACATCCGAAATGTGTCATTCAGACCTCAGCATACAAGGCAAAGGAGAAAAAGGTCTAACTGACCCAATGAAATTAAGGCCAACTTGAAGTGTACACTGTTTGTCACTTGTCTCATGAACGTGACGAAGTGCTGTGACCCGCTTACTAGGGGTGACTATTGAGGGGGGAAAAACTATTGCGATAGCGATTGTCTGTTGCGACCAACTATTGCAATAGTTTTTTTCTCCTTGAATTGTCACATTTGAAGTCATTTCCCAAAATAAATGTACAGTTAATGTATATGAAATAAAACAAGGTTAAGTAGTTTCAATCTCTTTTGATAATTGACAAGAAACTTGAAACCCAGATCAAGTAAACAGGTAACAGGGTGGATAACTCAAAATCAAAGTGAACGAATCTGGTACTTCCTGTATTTTGAGCTGGGCATTTATCAACGGAAGTCAATTACTAAACTATCGATAGTCACACATAATATCGATGCATCGATAATTTTTTGTTTCTATTAAGTGCTATCATAGACTCAACAATTGCAATCATTCGATAGTTCAATGCATCATTACTATTGTGTGCAGTCAAATACTACACTCTATTGCTTCAGGCAATTAAATGTGAAGGAAAATCAAGTTGTCTCTCAAAGAAATTAAACGTGAGTATGGGTTTCTGTCGCTTTTGGCAATATTCCAGCAATATCACGGCAGGGGGCACCAGAAATGGGCTTCACACATAGTGCCCATGTGGGGAATCGAACCCGGGTCTTCAGCATGACGAGCAAACGCCTGAACCACTAGGCTACCCCACTGATCCACCTTAACAACTAGGCTACCCTACTGCCCCACCTTAACCACTAGGCTACCCCACCGCCCCACCTTAACCACTAGGCTACCCCACTGCCCCACCTTAACCACTAGGCTACCCCACTACCCCCCACCTGAACCACTAGGCTACCCCACTGATCCACCTTAACAACTAGGCTACCCTACTGCCCCACCTTAACCACTAGGCTACCCCAATCACCCCCACCTTAACCACTAGGCTACCCCACTGCCCCACCTTAACCACTAGGCTTGGCCCCCACCGCCCCACCTTAACCACTAGGCTACCCCACTGCCCCACCTTAACCACTAGGCTACCCCACTACCCCACCTTAACCACTAGGCTACCCCACCTTAACTACTAGGCTACCCCACTGCCCCACCTTAACCACTAGGCTACCCCACTGCCCCACCTTAACCACTAGGCTACCCCACTGCCCCACTTTAACCACTAGGCTACCCCACCGCCCCACCTTAACCACTAGGCTACCCCACCTTAACCACTAGGCTACCCCACTGCCCCACCTTAACCACTAGGCTACCCCACTGCCCCACTTTAACCACTAGGCTACCCCACCGCCCCACCTTAACCACTAGGCTACCCCACCTTAACTACTAGGCTACCCCACTGCCCCACCTTAACCACTAGGCTACCCCACCTTAACTACTAGGCTACCCCACTGCCCCACCTTAACCACTAGGCTCCCCACCTTAACTACTAGGCTACCCCACTGCCCCACCTTAACCACTAGGCTACCCCACCTTAACTACTAGGCTACCCCACTGCCCCACCTTAACCACTAGGCTACCCCACCTTAACCAGTAGGCTACCCCACCGCCCCACCTTAACCACTAGGCTACCCCACCTTAACTACTAGGCTACCCCACTGCCCCACCTTAACCACTAGGCTACCCCACCGCCCCACCTTAACCACTAGGCTACCCCACCGCACCATCTTAACCACTAAGCTACCCCACAGCCCCATGCGCTTCACAACACACACCTTTAGTCGAAAGAGGCAGGTTATGTATATCTAGACATAGCTCTTTGGAGCCCCATACCTGTTTTTTAACTTTATCGGAGAAGAGTAGGAAGTTAACCCCTTTGATGGGATCCCCTTCACTGGATACGGAGCCCTGCAAATAAAAATATGCTATAAAATATTGAACAAGTCGGGATGGACATTGTCGAATCAAAAATGGAATTCAACTCAAGGAACGAACCATCCCTTGGTACACACCTCCAAATAACCATGACAGGTAATTTAATGCAGAATTTGAAAACAGTGAAAAGACTTCTCAAAAGTGCAGTCATAATTCTTAACATTACAAATGTTCGCAAAATCAGTGACTCTATTTCAAAGCAGCTGTAACCATGGTAACGAGAAACTCAGTGTTGAAGGTTTGATACTCACAGTGACATCATACCCAGCTATCACCAGGCTGCTTCCTGTATTGGCGTTGTCGTTGGCAACAGTCACCTTCGTCTCACCCTGTCACCAAAGCAATGAAATGAGGTACACATACATCATAAATATATATGACATTCTTGAGCATAGATGTAAATTTACACAAGTGTTCGCCACTGACATGGCAATGTCCCCCGCCGCTAAAGAATGGAATATCTATATTTACTACTTTTATTGTTTGGTCACATACAAGATGCCTGAAATGACTGGTGTCTAATCACCCAATGTAGGCTGTCAACATACTTGAAAACATTGGGTGCAATGTTTTATGAGACATCGCGTTTAAATAAGCGATCAAAGTGTTGTGGTGGCCTTGAAGATAAGGTCAAGGTCACCCAAATAACCTGGTGTCTGCGTAATACCCCAATGTAGGCTGTCACCAAATTTGAAGACATTGGTACAACAGTTCATGAGATATCTCGTTAACAAGAATCGGGACGTACATATATACGTACGGACATCGCTGAATACAGTCCCCCGTTCCGCACTGCGGCGGGGGACAAAAACATATAAAACCACCGAGTCAGCAATTTTACAGCATCATCACGGAGACATTATATACTGACAGCATGAACACCAATCTGGGAAGGTGAAACACAATGACAGGTCACACATTTCAACAAATCATTCTCTGTACAACAAGCATGAGAGAAGGTAGAATGCTTCCTTCATGGATATACTGACTGACTGAGTTTAGTTTTACGCCGCTTTTAGCAATATTCCAGCAATATCACGGCGGGGGACACCAGAAATGGGCTTAACACACTGTGCCCATGTGGGGAATCGAACCCAGGTCTTCAGCGTGATGAGCCAACGCTTTAACCACTAGGCTACCTCATTGCCCCCTTCATGGATATAATTGAAACAAAACCTAAAAGATCCAACAGGTGCTTGTTAGTTCCTCAACACTGCTATCAGCAATAATGACAGTGGCCTGTTAGTAACTGGTCCATCAACCAAGTAAGTGAGCCTGACCGTGATATCCCATTCTGACAACCAGTCTCGGTGTCTTGGATACCAAAATCCCATCAGGGTAGACAAGCAAATACTGGGCATTAAGTTGCCCTTTCTCCATGATTAATTTTTACTAGCCAGTGACCACAGGACCAGAGCGAATTTCGCACACTGCACAAATAGTTGACTGACCGATGTACATATCTTTTCAACACCCACATCCCCAGTTCCTGCATTGTGAGACACCTACCTTCTGGAGGAGCCATGTCGGGTGAGTCGCCTTTATAATGTAGTCGCCAGGCAGGATGTTTGAGAAGCTGAAGCTAAACACAGGAAGAAGATCATGCCAAAACTTCCAACTGAGAAGATGAGAACAGAGTTGGCAACATAGGATTTGTTTCTTAGTGTTGTTGTATACATCCACATGCATGAACATTCAGGCAACAGGGCTCCAGATAAGGGCCGTATCGGCATATGTACTGATAAAAAATATACACGATGCGGTAGGAAATAATTTAGAAAACATAGCAGATACGCACCACAGCAATGGTGTACAGTCTTAGAATCATTTACAGACGTATTTATCTGAAAAAGTATTGTTTTATTGTTTATTGACCTGTTTACACAAGAGTAGCAATGTTGTGGTGCATATATGAAACAAAACACAAGATTACTTATACACCATTAAATTCCACTCAGTTCTCTAAATGTACTCTTAAGGTTTTCCAGTACTCCTGTTTTGAAAAAATAAGGAGTACGTACTCCTGATGTTGAAAAATTATCGGGGCCCTGAGGCAATATAACAACAGCCAGGCACATACCATCACATGGTAGTGTTATTCTTGTCTATCATCCAAAACTGTGTTCCACAGGAGATATCACTTGTGTGAGATCATATGATATCTCCTAGGAGATATTGTTTTGACAGTAGATTTTGTACAATGCCCTGACAATGCTATGACGTCATCAACTTATTGAATTCACAATGCTATGACATTACTGCACTGCAAGTCTAATGGTAGTACAGTGTTCAGAGAGGTACATTTTTCATTGAAAACTAAGGAAGAATGATTTTTTATGATAAATAGAATCTCACCCTCATGTCTACTGATATCAATTATATCAACACTCGTTGATAAAGGTAAAATTATCCTGGGATTTGTAACTTTCTCCATCACGTGGTAGTGTTATTCTAGTTTATCGCCACGCTCAGCAATATTCCAGGCCCAGATTTCTCGAAACAAACTTAAGTTTGAGTTTTGACTTAAGTAATAGTTTTTACACAAATTTGAGCAAAAGCAGGAAAATGCATTTCCCAGAATGAACTGAAATCGATATTAAACGCAAACATAGTTGACAATTTGAGTTGGGTAGATAGGCTACTTAAGTTGTTTGGGCTTTTTTATTTTAAAAAATGCAGTTGAGTTAAAAAATCAGCTGTTTCAAATAACTAACTCAGTTTGAAATTTGAGTAAATTTGAGCCAGATGTTCAATGGACTGCTTCCTAGTTCAACTTGGGAACCAACATGACTCAAAGCACTCTTCAAAATGTCCGTCAACAAGGCAATGTTAGCGTCCATTCAACCATGTAACAGCCTGTGACATTATCTTACCTTCCGCCTGTTGTGGTGGCAACAGTTTGTAGCGCCTCATCTTTCCCAGCCTGTGTTACTGTGACCTTGACCCCTGATGGGCCTTCAGTCTCACCTTTGCTGATCACCTGTGAACACAATCAGTGTTCAAAATTAGTCCTGAAAGAATTGGGGTCCAAGCTGTAACTCTAACACAGATATTTCAAGAATCTCCAAATGATTGACAGAGTTTGGTTTTTAGTCTGTTTTTTTTTAGCAATATTCCGTCAATATCATGGCGGGGGACACCAGAAATGGGCTTCACACATTGTACCCATGTGGGGAAGCGAACCCGGGTCTTCGGCATGACGAGCGAACACTTTAACCACTAGGCTACTCCACTGCCCCATCTCCAGATGAAGATGCCATTGCAACAAGCCTAAGGACCCCAGGATTACTCAATCTTGAGTGAATAGTTTGGGTTTTATGCCGCTTTTAACAATTTTCCAGCAAATATCATGGTGGGGACACAAGAAATGGGCTTCACATATCCCAACACGAGTTGAATTCGACGTTCTGGTGATTTCGACGACTGCATTGCTCGCGCTATATCGGGTGAGTACGTGTGCGATCGGAGTGCACAAACAGTTTCACTGGTAGGGCGGGTGACCAGTCGCTGTCGTGAGAAGTTTTATTGAAAATGGAAATCGGGAAGTAAAGTTATATAAAAAGCAAACAAACATCAATATTATTTACCCGAAATCGTTAATACCACTGTAGATGCAAAATCAGTTGCCTTTATAACAAAAAATAGCAAGCGAAAATTCAGTAAGATCAATCGTCTGCTGGTGACAGGCAATATATAAATAGGAAGCTACGTGATCACAACACTCCCTCGCAGTGCGGAGCAAAGAGTATGGCTCATCGTCGAAAACCCATACAAAATACCCGGATGTTATGAGCGGCCACTGTTTCGTCGATACGATGTCATCAACGCTATTTTTGTAGGAAACACTTGATATTTTTGTGTGAAATAGATGAATATATCCTTTATCACTCCATGTCAGTAAAATACAAACTTTAAATGATATTACAGATAAAAATTACGTTTTTGTCTTACAACGTCGAAAACCCCTGACACCGGGATGCTGTACTCATGTTGGAATCAAACACAGACTATCAGTCCAGATGCTTTAACCACTAGGCTACCCCACCGCCCCCATTGTTGAAGAACCTAGTTCATGGTTACAAGATTACAGATGCACCAGTCACTACAAGGACATAACATGACACTAACCTTTCCAGTTACAGAGAAGCCTGTGAACTTAAAGTTAATGTCCTCGCCCAGACTGCATTTGTCTGTGGCTCCGTCAACTTGCAGCTCCACACTCTCAGGTTCTGCAGACATAAATACAGATCTCCTTACCTGGTTGATTTGTTGTTTAACGCCACACTCAGTAATATTGCAATTATATGGCAGCGGTCTGTAAATTATTGAGTCTGGACCAGACAATTCAGTGATCAACAGTATCCACAAAACTGGGATATGATGACATGTGTCAACCAAGTCCGAGAACCAAATAACCTCAGATCGGTGGTCAGGCTCGCTGACTTGGTTGACACGTCATCATTTCCCAGTTGCCTAGATCTATGCTTATGCTGTTGATCACTGAATTGTCTGGTCCAGACTCGATTACTTACAGACCGCCACCATATAACAAGAATAAAATTTTAAGAGTAAAATTAATATTTTTATACTTATCCTGACTCATGCTTATTGCTTGTCTTCTTCTTCTGGCGAACCTAGTGGAACACTTGTATCTCCCAATTGAAGTTACCTTCAATAAAAAATCACTCATTAGTACTCACCACGAGTTACCTCCCTTCTGCAAGAGCGGGAACGAGGGCGCCACCCAAGCCCATGTGCCTCACTCTCTCCTTTTTTGTTTTGAGCCCAACACTTTATTTTTCTGAGAAATCCAAAGTGTTAAGTGGGGAGGACGGGAGGGCTTACCTCATGAGTCAGGATAAGTATAAAAATATTAATTTTACTCTAAAAATTTCATATTTTTTCTTATCCTGACTCATGCTTATTTGCTTGTAGAATCCTACGGATTAGGAGGTGGGATTATATATACTTTGGATTTTACTAATTAGTGATTTGAACTGAGATGATTGTAATAACCCTATGGGAACTTCATGAAGGCACTGAACTGAATTCCTTCTGTTAATTTAACAGCTGCCTTTTAAAGAAGGTTATTACAATTTACTGAATATAATAAAAGTATATAGAACATTAATTAAGCTAAAGCCATTAATGTGGTAGTATAAACTGTTGATAGTTTATAATGAATACTTTTATAAGAACCAAAGTAGTAAGCTTACAATATGGATATATATAAGCTATAACAGAATTGTGCTTAAGGTATAATGATAACTTAAGCTGTATAATAGTAACCAACTACTGAGAGTTTGTTAAAGGTCACATGCAACGTAAAACACAACTTTGCAGATTCTGATACCTATCGGTATGGACTTACCGAAACAAAGCGTCAAAAATGCAAATTCAACTTATAAAGTTGAAAAATAACGCGATGAAAAAAACCGTGCGAAATCGGAGTTCAAACGTTTCACTAATTTTCCCCAGACTTTTCTGGGGAATACGGGTTTCAAAAGCTGGGCTGCGCTCATAGCACGTGCGCAGTGAAATAGGTTCGAGCAACTTGGAAGCGGGCTGTCTGGTGAATACTCGGTGAAGGCTTTGATGTGAGCTATTTTCATAATGTTTTGTTGATATCTCACAGGCACGAACTTTTTATATGTTATGACAGTAAATAAACTGTTTATATAATTTCATTTGTCTATTTCACCACACGTTCTTCTTACCGAGTCTCTTTCTCAGTTCGATACTTAAAAGCAATGTCATTATATAGCGTTGACACAATTTCTAACTGTGATATAGACATGTCGCTGTCACAGACAAAACTCAATGTCTTGTTTTATTGACACCTGTGTGTCTGCCTGCCTGTCTGCTAATGACAATATTCAATACACAACTGAGATCACTGACCACATGCAATTTGAACTTAACACCAATCAGGCTATACACCATAAACAAAACGCATTGATTTATGGCCCGAGTTCGGTCTCTGTCACATTATGTAATTACACAGACAGGCAGGTTTGATACTTGAACACATGACATGTTATGATGTCTGTTGATTGCAAAATGTTATACACAAAAAATGAGCATGTATTTACAAAACCTAAAATCTCTATACACAATCTCACACACAATGGCGGCATCTGCTAATGAACCAGCCGTTACACTTGAGTGCACACCCACCCGCTCTGACTGGGTTCGGTATCTCGGCTGCTTCGTTTCGAGGGAGGTAAACCCAAGTACAAAATATTGCACTTTTGATTTGCGATTATACGCTTATAATTTTGTTTATGTTTTTTTTCATAATCAGCAATGCATATTAATGTCATGAAGAAGTGATAATTGTGTTTTAATTATGTTTGATTTTTTGGTTGCATGTGACCTTTAACTAATACATGTTATGAAATTAACATATGACTGAGCTTAAGGATAGAAACTTAAGCTGAACATATATATAATAGTAGAAACTCGTAAGAGTTGTAGGTATATATATATTATGATATAGAATCATAGTACTGAACTTAAGATAATATTTTAACTTAAGCAAATATATATAGATAGCATGTAGCTATTAGTACTGTTATCAGATAAGTATAAAATCAACAAGGTAGACTTATCTTCTCCGTGGAACTGTCAACTGTTGAGCGAGGACCATGGGACCGAAATGGTGGATACCTGAGACGTCCTTGGTGGTGATATCTCTCAGATAGTGGTTGACAAACACCATATCGGATCTCCAAAAACATCCCTCCATAATGGTATTCAATGAGCAATTTCCATGTAAAGCCAAAGTTGAAGCTAGTGCTCTAATTTCGTGGGGATTAGCAGCACTTGGAGGGTCCAGTCCAGCTGCCTTGTAGGCTCTTAGTATGACAGTTCTGATCCAAATAGAAATGGTAGTCTTGCTGACACTTCTGTCTGTGAGGCGGTAGATATAGGGATAAACAATCTTTTGAATTTCCCTCTACTTTGCTTGGATCTTTGGAGATATATTTTCAGTGCACGTACAGGGCAAAGTGATAAGTCCATCGTATCCTGCGGTCCAAGTATGGATGAGAGAGCTGGGACATGGAACAACCTGTCTGGTTGACCTGGTAGTTGATTTTTCGCTATAAAATCCCAGCAAAGTCCCAGATGAGTGATGTTATGAATATCATCAAATCGTGTTCTCTCGTAATCCAAAGCGTGAATTTCAGACATTCTGGCGGCAGTGGCTAACGCTAGCAGGAATAAGGTTTTGTGGGTCAATGATTGAAATGACGCAGATAACAATGGCTCGTAAGCCTCACTTGTAAGGTGTTGAAGTACAACATTTAGATCCCAGGCTGGTGCTTGAAACTTCCGTTTCTGGTCTTCCAATCGAAAGGCACGTAACAAAGCGAGTAACTCCGGTGTTTTAGTCAATTTGACGCCCGTTCTCATATATATGGCTGCAAGATAAGTGGACAGTGTAGATCCTTTTAGATTCTTAGTTTGACGTAGGAAACATAAGAAATCTGCCACTTGAGGATGTGTAGCAAATCTGGCTGAAAATCCTTTCTTAGCAGCATAATTGACAAATCTGAGCCATTTGTCATCGTACTAGTTACGAGTAGAGTTACGTAGTGCAAGCGTGACCGCTTTAGCCGCTCTGGTGGAATAACCTCTCTTATTCAAACATGCCTTGATACAATCCACACGTGAAGTCGGAATGCTTCTGGTGTTTTGTGCACTTGTTTGGTGTGCGGATGTATCAGTAGATTGGAGCGTAGTGGGAGCTGAAGTACTGGTTTTCCCGATTCCTAGTATGAGGTCTGGAAACCACGCTCTCGCTGGCCAGTAAGGCGCAGACCAAAATGAGATCGAGGCTCTTCGTTTGACTGATTTTTAGCAAGACTTGTGGGAATACGCGAGGAGGCGGAAAGCGTGACGCTGCTTAGTCCCTCCCACGATATGCTTAGTGCGTCCGTTGCCCAGGCTAATGGATCTGGCACTGGCGATCTGAAGGTTGTCAGTTGATTGTTGAATCGGGTGGCAAATAGGTCTATCAGAGGAGATCCTATTTCCATGATTATCTGATTGAATATCTCTGTGTGGAGCATCCATTCTGTCGGCGACGGTTGGTGCGGCCGAGAGAGCGTCTGCTAACACATTCTTTGCTCCTGGAATGTGGCAGGCTTTGATACGTATGTTTAGACTGTCGACTAAATCGAACAGTCTGAAACATCGAAAGTAAGTAGATTCAGTGATCTTGTTGACCCTTGTTTGTTCACATAAAACGCCACTGTTGAGTTGTCTGTGTGAATCATTAACTGAGCCGCTCTGTAACAGGTTGCTCCAGTGACCTATGCATGCTATGACTGCTTGCATCTCTAGCAGATTTATGTGACATAAGCTCTCTTGAATGCTCCATAGGCCTGACGCTGTCCTGTCGGTAAGGTGGGCTCCCCAACCTTTTAGTGACGCCGCGTCCAGAGATGTGTTTTTCGATTCGGCTCTACTAAGGAGACGCCTCTGCGCAGACATTCAATCTCTTGGTCCACCAGAGTAGATGTGGTTTGACGTAATCTGGTAGACTGACAGTAGAGGGTCCTCGAGATGGGCATTGATGAGGACTTGTAATGGACGCAATTGAAGCCTGCCTCTGAGTGTCAAGTCTTGAGCTGATGTGAGTAGTCCCAGTAGACTCTGCCACTGTCGTAGTGGTAACGGAGAGAGTAGGGCTTGGGGGATCAGTTGTTGTATCTTGATCCATCTGTCCTCGGGACTACCATCACGATTCTGAGCTGTAAGGAATCGTATACCTAGAAACTGCAGATCCTGCGTGGGCTCTAGGTCCGACTTGAGTAGATTTACTAACCAGCCTAACTGCGTTAGTAGCTTGATTGTAAAGTTCAGCTGTAGTCTGAGACGCTGTGGATCTGGATCCACCTGTATACCGTCGTCTAGGTAAAATGCATTCCGCAGTCCTTGACAATGTAGGTATGAGACAATAGGCTTGGTTACTCTTGTGAATACCCATGGGGCCAAAGGGATTCCGAAGGGAAGTACTTTCCATTGGTAGTGTATGCCGTCTAGCATAAATCTCAGATATTTCCTTGAACTGGGATGAATCGGAATGTGTAGGTATGCGTCCTGCAGATCTATACTTACCATGTAATCTAGTGGACAAATTAGATGACGGAGTTGAGGTAAATGTATCATGCGAAATGCTGGTGGTTTGCATAGAAATTCTCTGTTGAATGTGCTCATGTTGTAAATGAGATGATACTTCTCTTTGGAATTCTTTTTCGGCACTAGGAAAACTGGGGAGTAGAAACCTGGTATGATGTTTTGCTGATCGAGAACTTCTAAGGCCTGTTTGTTTAGTAGAGACTGAACTGTTTCTCTTAACATCGGTAGTTGTGCCAGATGAACGTTGAACCCTGGTGGGTTGATTGTTAACGGTGGCTTGGCCTTGAGTTGTAGACGATATCCGTACTGAAGGATGTTGGATACATACGGATCTTAAGGTATTCCCCAGTTTTCCCAGTGTAGTTGTAGACGTCCCCTCACTTGAGAAGGTTGTACTGGGACGACTGGGGGTGGAAGACTCCAGTCGTTCCGAACCTGACTTTCATCGTTTAAATCCACGGGCACCTCTGGATGATCTGCCTCTAGCTGATCCTCCTCTGAACTTGTTGTACGGGCGACGAAAAGAATCCTTGGGATTATTAGCGGCCGCTAATTTCTTATCCCGTGCTCTCTGTAGCCCTGAAAACTTAGACTTACCCGAGTACCTCTGTGCTGATTGTTTAAAGACGTTCGCTAACGTATCCATAGATCTTATCATGAGTACTTCTCTAGAATCTTCAGATACTTCCTTGGAAACCTTGTTAATGTTGCCACCAAACAGTAAAGGTGAAGACCATGGAGCTGTGTACAGGGGCTCTGTGAATAGTCTATTCCAAGAGCAGGAGGCTAGTAATCCTTGCCGACGTGTCATGGTAGTAGTTTCAGTAAGTGCTGAAAGATGGTCTGTAAGGAATTGTTGATCTTTTTTCTGCATAAGTAGAGCTGAATAGATCATCCTGCCCTCCTCATCCGTAGAGTTCTTGAACTTGGTGATGAGAGTCTCGTTAATAGTCCTTGATCTATTAAGTCCGAAGAACATCCTTCTGGAAATGGTATCTAACTGGGCCATCTTGCGATCGTCTACCCTATAACTTCTGGACTTGGAATCACTGATAAGTTTAAAGTTTTCATCAATCTCCTGAGTCTTGAAAAAGGGCTCCATATTATGTCCATAAAAATGCTTGGCATTGAAGAACAGTAAATGGGTAGGTTGGGTTTTAGCAGATTTGGAGTAGGCTGTATCCAGTTTAGCAGGAACGGCTGCGATAGGATCCATAGGAGGCACGGTGATATGATCTACATCATCATCTTTCATCAGGTAAGTTTGGGCTGTATCCTCGTTCTTAGAAGGGGAGGCCAGTTGTAATTCGTTTACCATCCAATACCTTATCTCAGCCTCTGAGAAAATGATACCATCGTCCTCCTCTGACGTATGGTCGTATGTCGGAGTCCTCGATCTGTAAGAAGATCTATGTGAGGATTGAGGAGAACGGACTGACGAAAGTGGCTAGTGTATGTAGACCTTGAAAAGACATCCTTCGCCGCGGAGACTGTGGGCCGTGAGCGGTGATAACCTTCAGACGCTCTGGACTTCTCGAGCGTTGAGGGCTCTGCTTGAACGCCTTCTAGGCGAAGTAGAACCACTTAGCCTTCGGCGGTCCTCGTGAATGTCTGGAGTCAGTGTCCGATCCGACATATGGCTTGCTTTGCAAGCGCCGCTTCGTGAATGACAAGGTGCGTGCTCGGCGAAGCGCTCCTTCTCCTTGCGAAGCCTCTAGCAAAAGGTGAGGCTCTAGCTCCTTGTGAGGCTGACCTGAGATACCTTATGCAAAGAGCTCACTCGGGCAGGGTTGCCCTTGGCGAGGCGCGCGTCTATGGGCTCAGAGGCCCTACGAAGCCAAAAGGCGGGCTATGAGGCCCTGTATGACTTAATATGGGGTGGGCTCTGAGGCCCGTGGCTCTGAGGCCTCTGTAAGCCGTAGCAGTCTTCCATCACCCTGATTATCTGGTTGATCAAGTCGTCTGAAGCGGTCTGCATTGATGAGGGGATGTCTCTCTGCAGAGGTGACTGGACCCTCAGATAAAATTTCTGGTGATAGTGTCGGCATGTCCGGTTGTGTGTTCATCTGCGCTGAGGTGACAGTCGCAGAAACGGGCCGTTTCTTGTGACGAACTTCTGGAATGATAATTGGCATATCATCATCATATAATGCTAATTCTGTAACTGGTAAGATATCAGAGGCAAAATTATTAGATTTTGTTGACTTCCCTTTAGATGAAGGTGTAGATCTTGGTGTACGCAGTGTACGTGATGATATGGATGGTTTCCTCGACTTGGACTCAGAAGAGATGCAGGTCGCTTCTTGGACATAGCGGACTGCGTCCCACGCTTATCCGCCGAGGTAAACTCAGGCATGCCACCAGCCGGTGGCGGGTCCTCAGTCAACAGTTGACATGGAACATTAATTTGCGATCTATTAGCCATGTTTGAAATCTGTTTACGAGATTTATCTGCCTTCCGTCTCAAAACGGAACATAAATATTTGTCAAAGGCAGAGATAGGTAAATTGATACACAATTTACAACGAGAATCAAAGGAACATGGAGTAATGCAACTAGGGAAATTTTAAATGTGGATCGGTATCAGAATAACGTAGTTTACAATCTGTGCAAATTTCATTAATGTAGCCTACTGAACAATCACGGCGAAGCGTGAATAAACAGCAGAAACACAATTAATAATCAATGCAAATTGAATAAATATACTAGTAATACCTTTATACTAACGTATAAGAGGAACTAACTAAATATAAATAAAGGATATAGTGTGTTGGGAGACACAGGCGCTCTCACGTCCAGCTCACTGGGCGAAGAAGGAGAGAGTGAGGCACATGGGCTTGGGTGGCGCCCTCGTTCCCGCGCTTGCAGAAGGGAGGTAACTCGTGGTGAGTACTAATGAGTGATTTTTTATTGAAGGGAACTTCAATTGGGAGATACAAGTGTTCCACTAGGTTCGCCAGAAGAAGAAGACAAGCAAATAAGCATGAGTCAGGATAAGAAAAAATATACTGTTGAGTACAGTGTTATACAAACAAACAAAAACCTGTACACATCGAGATTCAAAATGGCCATGGTATCTTTAGTTAACTGTTTCTTTAGAAGATAAACACAGGAATACCACTATCTACATAGAATAAAACATTAAACCATGGGTCGTGAGGTGAGGTGAGGTGAAATTGGGTTTAACGTCGTGCTTGAGAATATTTCGCTCATATGACGACGTGCATGCATGTGTATGTGTATGTGCAGCTGCTTGTACTAGCCCAGACTTAGGCTGGTTTTATAGAGCTAAGCCCACTGAGATATCACGCTGCAGTGAAGCATGAATACCCCACTCAGACACATTATACTGACTCCGAGCTGACCAGTTCTTGTTGTACCCATTAATGCCGAGAGCCAGGCAGGGACCAACAAGTACCATATTTTAACGTATTTTGGTATGACGCGGTCGGGGATTGAACCCGCGAACTTTTGCTCTCCGGGCGGACGCTCTAACCACTACACCACGGAGGCGGTCTCATGGCTCGTGTGTGAAGGTACAAAGGGAACAGTTCTCTGACATTGACAAGTAAGTTTACTGATCCAATCTACCATACCCAACATGGTCTCAGGATCCGAACAAAAATTGGGATAATTTCAGTATATGTCTTTCTGACACAAAGATATAGAAAAATAAACCTCATGGACAAAAGGAAATTTCTTTAGTAATCTGCGAAACAGGCCTGAGGACAATGAATACACAGTACCGTTTAAAAAGTGGTCAATTGTAAAACATGTTATATTTGGGATTAAGTTTTCTCAGTAAAGTACAGATTCTAGTACTTTTGTTGGGTTGAGTCCCATTCATTTTTTGTGGAAGCTGCAGTGGCTAAGTGGGATAGATGGCTGACTTGGTGCGCTGGTGATTAGGTGGGAGTCATGAGTGAGTGAGTTTAGTTTACGCCACACTCAGCAATATTCCAGCTATATGGCCGCAGTCTGTAAATAATCTAGTCTGGACCAGACAATCAAGTGGGAGTCATGACAATTTACACACGTCAGAGGGAACAAAGTCTGTGATCTAGACTACCACTATCAGTTGTCCCACTTCCATTTTTTTGAAGCTACAATTCCTGAGTGGGTTAGATGGCTGAATTTGTGTGCTAGCGATTAGGTGTTTGACTCTGAAAGTGTGGGTTCGAATCCCAAATGGGACTCAACCCAACAAAAGTACTAGAATCTGTAATTTACTGAGAAGTGTAACCACAAATATAACTTGTGTCATGCCAGAGGACACCTTGAACTTAAACTAGATGTTCAACTTGAATCAAGATGTAACATAGTAAGCTGGAAACATAAGAATACGTGAGTTTCAAATATATATGATAAAGCATATCATCCATGTAAGCTTGCACATTGGGTAACAGAGGCATCTCAGTGAGCAATACTTAGTAGGGTTTACTATATACTAGAGCTGGGAATTGGTTAAAATCTCATAATTGATGATTGGTTTATAACAACGATCAATCATCGAAAAAAATTGGCTAGCGTCATTAATGAAATTTGTTAATGCACATAAAAATGAGGAAAAAACATGTTGTTCTTTTGGTTTTTGTGACAAAATTTCACATCTTTAAAGGATGACTAGTATGTCAGGAACATAGATTTCTTGGAGTCTTTAAGATAAATTCAACCATGACTTGGAACGAGCTTGACCACTACGGTCATGAAATGTAACAGACAAAACCAACCTTGTGAAAAATATTGTTAATGGAAATAAGTGTTCCAGAATTGTTTGTGTTCGATTATGAGAAAACGTGATCTATTGCTGGATCGTTTAGTCACTGCGACCAATCTTCGATTGTTTCAATTAATCGGACCACCACTACTGTATACCACAGTTTAAAGCATGAATTGTTTCTAGATTCACTGACAATTATTAGCATGAGATCACCGAAGGGTTTATACATCAGTCCAACAAGGGAAAGTAAAATATGGATCGGTATAATTGTTGGAAATTCCACTTACCGAAACTCCATCCCTTAGGTGGCTCCACCTTGAGCACGAAGTCACCTTTGTCATAGAGTGGGATGAGGTAGTATCCTGTGTTGGGGGCGCAGTCTGTCTGATACTTCATACTGCCATGAGGGGTGTACAGCTTCACCTGAAGGATCATCATGAAATGTATTGTGATATGGCCGATAATATGATCCCGATATCACATAATAATATACTATAATAATATCCCATAATGTTTAAAGGTACTGTTTACACATGAACTGATGTATTGTAATTTGAAACATATTCGTAACGTTGAAAACGTAACGTTGAAAACAGTATTTTCATGAGTTCAATAAATCATGTAACTCAGTGAAAATTGGAAGATTCTTAACAACACTTTACACCAAAACACAGCTGTTCACATGCACAATATTTGCACATGCTTTTCAGAAAATTGATGCATGATCCTTGTGCAATTCATCTGCATAAGGTTTGCAGATGGTTCCCCTAAGTTAGCAGAGAAATTCATCTTCGATGTAACCATATATATACACATAACATATAGTGAGTGCTTTAAGTGAGTCTAAACTTTGGATGGGTAGTACATGTTCAACCACACAATATCGCTTTCTTTTGCACAATGATGATAATCATTCCCAATTATTTCTATATAGTGCATAACACTAGTGAAATCTTGAAATCAAAGTGCATCATAATCTCCTTAACCTTGTTAAACAATCAGGGTGGCGTCATTATAGTAGATGGGCATTTAATTATTGATGTTACAATTTGAGGAGCTACAGTGGAATATATTCACCATTATTTTATGCAAGGATATAGTTTTGGATATATCCTCATACCAAAGATTGAAGAGGTACACATTAACTTATATTTTCACATACTGAATTTTCCTTGAGTTATGTCAAGATAATATTAATTGGGTATTCTAACCAACTGTATGTATAGCAGTTCAGTTTTAATAATTCCAAAGAATCCAGCTGATATCCTGTTATCGTTCTGGGTGTAGATTTTCGAAGCTCTCTTAACGCTAAGATTGTCGTAAGTGCCATACATTAACATTAACTTATGATGATTTTCGAAGCTCTCTTAGAGCTAAGATTGTAGTAAGTGCCGTACATTAACATTAACTTATGACTATCTTAGCGCTAAGAGAGCTTAAAAAATCTAGGCCCTGGCTTTTCAGTTGAGATGAGCAAGGGTCCTTAGACGAAACCGTACCAAGCACTTAGCATACCCACTTTTACAGTGTAGACTGACTGAGTTTGGTTTTACGCCACTTTTAGCAATATTCCAGCTAGATCACGGAGGGGGAACACCAGAAATGGGCTTCACACATTGTACCCATGTGGGGATTTGAACCCGGGCCAACGCTTTAACCACTAGGCTACCCCACCGCCCCTTTCAGTCTAGAAAACTAGACTCATCTCCGGCTAACATTACCTTACAATAATCTGCATAACATTTGACATAAATAAATGATATGATGTGGCTTCATTCGATGAAATGCCTAATGCTAGTCCTCTACTCCACTCAAGTTCAACACAACCTGTGATCACAACCATGCGTGACAAATCAATGCTGCAAGTCAACATTTACCTCAACTAAAGAAAAATTAATATCAACGTCAGATTTGACGAATCCTCCACATCCGAGTACGCCATCGGCCAAAACCTTTTCGTTTTCTAATAATAAACAAAACAAAACCAAAAATATATTCCGTGTTACGCTTATCCACGCCATCCTGGGTTTACCGGAAATGAGTTGCCGGTAGTTGCTTTACGGTTGTCGTTAAGTCGGCTATGAAAACGAGTATTTGGGCATATAGGAATAATTGGAGGATAGATACATATATATCTGAATCTCAAGTATCATTTAGGTTCATCAATTTGGAGATATGTATGTCTTTTTTAACTAAACTATAAACAAATATATTTTACGACACTTGCGCACGGACAAGACGCCACATGGGCGTGGTCATTAGCAGGGCTCTCCACTATCAATCTTGTGACGCGGGCAGAGCATACATCAGAGTTCGAACCAGAAAAATGTCTTGATTTTGTTTACACTTTTTAACATCTTCAATTCTTGTTTATTTTCTCGTTTAGATTTTGCTCTGTAAAATAATGTGCTGCAGAAACATCGCGGTTTCTATGAACATTGTTTTTTTAAAAATACAACGGATAATACAGAAGAAACCCTCCAAAGACCAATGTTTACTTTGGTTTTCACGCAGTGTGCGATATAGCCACTGGCCCGCTAGCCAGTGCCTAGTAAAAATCCAGTCGGGCCAGTAAATCTCCACAGACACTGGCCCGACTAGCTTGTGAATTTTTATGGGGTCATTTTGAAAATATATCACTCTCTCCGATTTGTTAAGTTATAATATACTTATAAATCATGCAAGATTATGGCCTGAAGAAATGTTCATCACGTTAGCAGCTTAATGATGAAACCCGTTTCTATATTCAAATTTCACACTGATTTCATGTCTCAAGGTGATTTCATTCGGTTTCAACTATTTTTTTTTATATAATATCAGTATTTGTGTGCCTCCTTCCGCTGGTGTAGCCTGGTGGTTAAAGCGTTCGCTCGTCACGCCGAAGGCCCGGGTTCGATTCCCCACATGGGTACAACTTGTGAAGCCCATTTCTGGTGTCCCCCGCCGTGATATTGCTGGAATATTGGTAAAAACGGCGTAAAACCATACTCAGTCAGTCAGTTCTGTTTGTTTGTGTGTAAACCTACCGCCGCTTTTAGCAATATTCCAGCAATATTACGGCGGGGGACACCAGAAATGGGCTTCACTCATTGTACCCATGTGGGGATTCGAACCCGGGACTTCGGCGCGACGAGCCAACGCTTTAACCACTAGACTACCCCACCGCCCCCCATATAGCTGGAATATTGCTGTGTGCGGCGTTAAACAACCTACTAACTAACCAACAACTTTAGTTAACTTCGAGAAGATCCGGGGTTAGAATTGATCTTTGGGCAACCTATGCTTGACATAAGAGGAGACTGGATTGGATTGCCAGGCTCGCTGACTTAGCTGATTGTATGTTACTCTATCCCTACTGTGTAGATGGTGCTTATGATGTTCAGGTTCTCACTCTATAAGTTATCACATCGTGTCTCGGGAAATACGGGGTTTTATCAGCCTCCGGCTCGGGGAATACAACCTTACGAGGGACTGATAAAACCCCGTATTTCCCTCGACACGATGTGATAACGCATTTATCTAGCCGAACGTTTTACTTCAATTTCATTCCCAGTTGTTGTGGCAAAACGTTTCCTTGCTGCCATGTTGACACCAGCTGATCGATTGACCTTAATACAGCGCACGTTACTAAAGGCTTGGCGATGCACGCTTTTCTCACGTGGTCACCGAGGCGTGGCGGGATAATATGACTTTTGTACTCCCTGCTCGCGGATCGTGACGGGTGTACATGGTATTTTATCAGTCACGTGAACCAATCAAAACTCGACATTCTGACATGAGGCTGGATAAAGTTATTTACATACTGTCGTCATATAGCTGAAATTATGCCGAGAGAGGGCATTACACTAAATACTGGCGTGTTACTGGTGATAGAAAGACCTATAGCCAGAGCAACATAATGTACCACCACTATCCCTACCTCCACCCCCATCGGATGCCTGTTTGATTGGAGGGATGTGTAATGCTCAGTAATCGAAATAATTTTCAAACTCAACCAGACAGTCGGACAGGTGACCAATAAATGTTGCCTGCCCGACTTGAAAGTTGCCTGCCCGCACTTTTGACTCATAAATTGCATTTTATTTACAAAAACAAACAAGCATCATTGTTTCAAATGTGAATTAGTTCAGCAAATTAAACACAATAAGCATGAAATTAAATACTCAGTCACATCCCCCAGCCTGTGACATTTGACAAGAGCCTGTTAAACCTGCAATTCCATATCGGTTTACATTATGAAATGATATTTTTTCTGAAAATTTTTAATAGCGACAGTTTAAAGCGATACCCGCCTCAAATATATCTTCTCGCGTGTTATTCATACAAAGCTTCCTAAAGGGAGGTATTTAAAAAATATCAGCCAGACAATCGGGCTGGTAGAGATCTTTTCATGCATCCCGACAGGAAAATTGCCAGCCTCGGACAGGCCGGCAGGCCATTATTTCGATCTACCCGTGAAGGTCCGGGTTAGAATATTGATCTTCAGTAACCCATGCTTGTCGTAAGGCGGGATCGGGTGGTCTGGCTACACTCAGCACTATTCCAGCTATATGGTGGTGGTCTGTAAATAATCGAGTCTGGACCAGATATTCCAGTGATCAACAGCACGAGCATCGATCTGCGCAATATGGAACCGAGGACATGTGTCAACCAAGCCAGCGAGCCTGACCACCCGATCCGGTTAGTCGCCTTTTACGACAAGCATGGGTTACTGAAGGCTCATTCTAACCCGGACCTTCACGGGTGTTGTATATATACTGAGTCAAAAAAGAAACTTCACATTCTTTCTTCAGGGCACTATAAAAGAACAAGAGATGGTCAGATGGTTAAATTGTTATTATTTCATTGCTGCGATCTGTGTGATGTACGCGATACACTGACAGTGCCATAATCAGTTCCATTAGGCTACATCGCCGTTCCGAAACATGGGTATACAGAATGTCAAGTCACAAGAATAAAAATGCGAAATTTCTCAGTTCAATATCGTGTATGGCCGCCCCGCGCATTCACCACTGCCAAACACCGTCTCCTCATCGACTGCCTGATGCTTGTGAACATGTGGTTGGGGATTCTGCGCCATTGCTCTTGCAAGGCAGCGCCAAGTTCCTGCAAATTCTGAGGTTGGTTCATAAGACCACGAAGCCTTCTCCCAAGTGCATCCCAAACGTGCTCTATTGGATTACGGTCAGGGGACCTCGATGGCCAGTCCATGACGTTGATTCCAGCGTTTTGAAGGAAATTTCGTGTCAACATCGCGGTATGCGGCCGAGCATTATCATGCTGGAACTGTAGACCTGGGCCATGAGCCGCCATGAAAGGAACGAGTTCAGGGGTGAGCACCTGGTCGCGGTAAGCAGCAGCTGTGAGGTTTCCACGGATGACCAGAAGTCGGGAACGGTTGTTCTCACAGAAAGCACCCCACACCATGCAACTTCCGCCCCCGAATCTGTCGACTTCCTGTACACAACATTGGGCATACCGTTCACGACGTCGTCTCCAGACTCTATGCCTGCCGTCCGCGAATCTGAGGGTAAACCTTTATTCATCGCTAAAGACGACTCGATACGAGTCTCTCTGGGTCCATCGGAGGTGACGTTGGGCCCACAGCAGACGTTGACGTTGATGAAACGGCGTCAGTATTGGCCCACGATATGGACGTCGAGAATGGAGATTGGCAGCCCGCAACCGATTTCGAATGGTCTGTGAGGACAGTCGACCTCTAAACATCTCAGCCCTGGTTCGTGTAGCCGGCAGAAATCTGTCACGTAGGTGACGTAGGACGATTTGACGGTCTTCTGCTCGTGACGTCACACGTGGACGACCCGACCTTGGGCTATCAGAAGTGGTGCCAGTTTGTTGTAGATGACCTCGCAAGTCATACACAGTACGACGGCTGCATCCCATTGCTCTTGCGACGTCAATAACTGGTCTTCCCGCTTGCAACATGCCAACGGCACGTTCACGTTGCACATTTGACAATCGTGGCATTTCAAGTACCGTTAGAACTGTGGTTTACAAGTGTTTTTTCAATTCTTGAGGCCAATGCAAACACGTGCATATGAAGAAAACTTCGATGCGAAGATCACGTGATCGACTGCACGTGCAAAACCTGATTTGGCACTAACGTCATTTGCACGACGAATGGATGGGTTTGAGTGGGCTTTGCTAACGTTTTTCTAGAGTCGAAAGATAGGGACCCCATTTTGGATACATAGATGTATCATCAGAGAAAAATTATTCATTAATTTTCAAATTACATTTTGTGAAGTTTCTTTTTTGACTCAGTATAGTACATGTCACTACAACAATGAAGGCTACAAGAGCTAGGAGAATGCTAATAACCAAGTGTTCTAATTACAAACATTCCAAGTCCCTCCTAAATGTTGAAACTTATCTCAGTTTAGATATTGCCCCATATTTAAGAAATTGTTTAAACAAAATTTAGATGTGGTAATTTTAAACTTACTTGTGAGACCGGTAGATATAACAATGTCCCTTATGATTCAAGATTGCCAAAACTTAATCTTAATTTAATTGAAGATGAAATACATGTTTTACTTTATTGTAAAGCCTACCTAGATATAAGGAATAAGTTTCTGGATAAATATTTGAAACATCCTCTATCACAACACAGCTTTGTCAAAATAATGTCTTCAACAAGCATAAATGTTATAAATACTTTATGCCTATTTTTATATTATGTTGGGAAAATAAAATATTTTGATGTTTTTCTGTAAAACGGAAGTAACTACTTATCATATCTATAAATGTATTTTGGGCCAGTGGCCTATTACTGAATAAAATGTCTGTCTGTCTGAAAATGCAAATATCTAACAGACCAAGCCTTAGTTTGGGCCAGTTCTGCAAATATGGATGAGTTGATTGACGCTGCGGAAAGGTTCTGTCATACGTATATTTTCCTAAAGTCGTCTTATTCCCTAAGACCTAAAATGTTGGAGACCAATTTCACGTACAATATACACATGCAGTTCCACAAAGCTTCTATTCACGTGAGTTAAGCTTTTTAAATTCTGCC